TTTAGAGTTCCCAGAAATCAAACCGATGACATTTTATCGCCAGTATGCTTAATCTGTTCATTACATCATGACTTTCTACATGAACTGTTACACAGCGACATATGTAGCTGTTTTTAGAAGACGGCTGACGAACTTCACACCTCTGCGTTCGTCTTCAACTACACTATTTAAAGAGAATGGCCCGTTTCTTTTATTTATATACAAGTAAACACAAATCCTCACAAAACATTATAAAAACTTTCGATTTGTCACGTTCTCGTCATGGTACGCCGACAAATGTCAAGCAACCCCCAAAATTTCCAGAGCATCATACTGTCACCAATGTAGAAGGGCCTTGCTTTTACAATCGAACAGAGAGAAACCTCATCTGCAAATGAGAATGTAGAGTAGTCGTGTTGGTCGTCATTTGACAGGTTTAGAAGCTATTCTGGAATTAGTTGTGGTTAAAAACAGGAAGTTTTGCTTGTTTTACTGCGGAGGTTTCATGCAAGACTTGAAGGGTCTGAAAATCACAAGATGAACAGCAACTCGTATCTTGCAGATCTTCTGTCAAAAACTAAGTGCAACCGCTGAGAACTCCACATTTTTAGCATTGAGGCACATTGTGTTATTCACTGGCTGACGGTGGACCAAGCCTTAAAGAAACGTCAACACAAAACAGCCACTTACTGTCATCAGAGGCAGCAACCTGCTCATATAAGCACTGTACGTAGCTTGAGTTTTTCCTTTAAGTAAAAAAATAGTTATTGATTTTTTTATTATCTAACCGTCTTTACTATAAACAAAATTGTGGATGAAAAAAGTTCTTTTGTGTCAAGACATCTGTGTACTAGCTAAAAATGGATAAGCAGAGTTTGAACCCTCCTGTAGTCCTAAGAGGGATCAAGTGAACCCTGCTTGAGATTTATGAAGTGTTTGTGGTTCTGGTGGGTCACCGGTTTACCCTTTTTTATTTGTGGTTTCTTGAACTGAAGAGCTCACCCAGTTGGCCAACCGTGACATCTGCTGTGCTCTTCCTGAGCGTCACGCTAAAACGGTTAAACAGTTAAATTTAGTTGAAACTTTGCCAAAAAGAATCGAAATGAAGCAAAAATTGTTGGAAGTCTTACACTCTACCTGAGTGTGGGATTCTCCATCCTCCACCTCCTGTGGATCACACGGGTAAGCTGTGCTTCCCTGTCTTTACTATTTAGTATAATATGTAAAAATTTACATGATTTGTTGTTTTTCTCTTTTCTCTTTTTCTACCACTGCCACTTGTGGGGGTTTTTTTGGCCACTAGAACAAAAAGAAACCTTAAAAAGAGTGTTTTGCTCTGTATTATTGACATTTTAGAAGGTTTTATAGACGACTCTGTGGAATAGTCTTAACAAGCGATTAAACTCATAACTGAACAGTATCATGTTCACCTCATGTTGTATTTAAGAGTGAGATTCTTACAGATACTATTTACATACGTAAAATTAGAATGTTTTTACTTCTACTTGATACTCTGATGTTTTTAGCAATCTATTTTTGCTGTAGTTTTAATCACCTTATTCACATCGTACTCATTAAGTAGACGAGTGACGAGACTTGTCTAATGAAAATCAGACAAATACAAGCTCTGTCACACGAAGCTATTGCCTTTTTTAGGGATTAACTTGTAAACTGGTTAATCAACTTTTAATTAAATGTTAGATTGTGACTTATACTTTGTCACAGTAGGTGTAGTGTTTTCAGAAGCAGATAAAACAAAACGTTCAAGGGATGAATGTTCACAGGAGAAGGTTGGACTTTCTAAGTGACTAAAGAGAAAATTTTCTAATCTGGAAATACGATTTTACAGTCATAGGAAGAAAGTACAGCCTTTTTCGGTTCAAGTGTTACATAGAACATATTAAAATGATCAGGTCTTTACCAGATTATGACATAATTTGCATCAAACCTCAACTGTAGAAAAACACCCAACCAGTTCCATTGTAATGATTCATGATTTCAAGAAATACATTTATGCTAAAACAGGACAGTGACTGGAATAAATATATTTTTATACAGTGGATGTAAACATCCGTTTTCAGCTGAATCTGACAAAACTTCAATCTAAATCAGTCATTTGGTGACTCTACATTTGAGGGAAAACGTCATTTTCCTTCCCCTTATTCTGGGCTGTGGAAAGGTTGCACATCAGATTTCATTTTAATTGCTGTCATTTCCCGCTCGTTTGTGTGCCATTTACTGCCAATCGCCCTGTGATCCTGTTAGACTGCGTTCACTCCCGGCTCTGTCTCTGCTTGGGTTTTGGTTCACTACAAAGATATTTGCTGGTATGACTCTATACATGGACAAACCTTGTCAAACGTATTATAGTGGATGAATATTCTCAACACACGTGAGGTCCTTTCATCCTGCTTCCCTTCCTCTGACCTAATCAAAACGTCATTATCTAATTAACCTGGCAGGGTTAATTGATCATCTAATCAATAACGTGGATAAACTGAGTTAGGCTTCTCTGTTCCAAATGTCTGGTCTGTCATTTAAGACGCTAAATATTTATCAATGGGGCATTGTAATTGTTAGAAAGCAGATAAAGTAAATTTCATGTGGGGGAAATGACATTTGTGCTCATAAAATTTAACCAATATCAAGATTTCAGCTATAAATGTAATAAAAACATTTATTTCCAGCTATTAACCTGATACATCCCGTAATATGTTTACCGATAGTGACAAGGTCAGTCTGCAATCCTGAAACACAACCAGAAAAATGAGGGGAAATGTTTCAGAGATTGCTAATGATTATTGCATATTTAAAGTGTTGAATACAATGAATCATTGTCCTTTCACTTTATAATTTTCTGCTACTTTGTGTTAACTTATGAAGAAGAAATCAAATATAAATTTTTTAGAAGCGCGTAGTTGAAAAATGTGGAAAATGTTTTAGCAAGTACAGCATATGTCTGCGGTCCAGCTCACAAAGAATGTGGTTATCCTTTACTCACATAGTGGATATATGTAGGTGTAAAGATGTCTTTGTGCTACTGTTACTGGAAACTGAATGTAGGTCATGATTCAGCAAACAAAAGAAACAGAAAACCACAATACTAAGGCCTTACGAGAAAGAGAGTGTTGTTTTGTGAGGTCCTTTCACTGATCCTCTATCTGCCGTGAAAGCAGAACCCAACAGACATGCTCTCTAATCCAGCTGAAGTAACGTAATGATGTTTCTTGAAAATACAGAATTCCAGAAACAAGGATTCCAAAAATAATTGGTGAAAACTTTAGACTCCCTCTAAAAACGCTTATATCAGTCTATTTTAATAGTTCAAACACCAAATATACTGTAATCTGCTTTTGTGCGCATAATGGCATCCATCTTTGCACTGCTTCCTTCTATCCGCACTTGGAGGTTTAGCCAATCAATCCCCTCAGATTGGGTTCTTTGCAATGCCAGCCAATAGCATGTCAAGTAGCATTGCACCAACTTACTGCTGCTTTCTAAGCTTTCAAATATTTTACATATTGTCACCTTCCTAAAATAATGGCCAGTCATTTTTTGCCAAAAGAGATTACCAAAAAAATATCTTCAAAAAAATATTTGTGAATAGACAAATTTTCCATAAATCAGCTGTAGTCATGCACCACAGAAAAATCCTCAAATAGGTAAAATCACAAATACTAAACCATGACTAGGCAGCACCAAGTTAGACGTAATTAAAAATCATAAAAGATGCATGACTGAAATATTTTTAAATGGTAAACACAATCACAACCATCGCAAACTTACCTGGGTTCCTGTCTTGAGAAATACTTTAATCTCCATGGCAACCATTAAGCTGTTCAAAACGCCTGGGTAGACTTAGCTCCGCCTTCGAGGCGCAGCTCTTCCTCTGAGCTAAAGTTTCTAAGCTTGCAAGCTTCTGCCTCACAGAGCACCCCTCCCTCATAACTTCCCCCAAAGCTCCTTCAGACTAGCCAGCAGCAATTAGCAAACACCTGGTGGAACTGTGCACCTGCTTAGTTCATTATAGGAGCTACTTCTCAGTGAAACATTGAAACATTGATAAAAATGTTGTTAAAGGGTTAATAAAGGACCCATGTTGTGATGACTTCCTGAAGATGGAGTTTCAGAGAGAGCAGGAGTTTCTTAAAGAGACAGAGGCCCAATTTCAAGGTGTTAAATTACAAAGTCAAGTTTCTTTCAAGTCATATTTGAAATATGTAGCATTTTTATAACAGTTGAATGTAACATTACTGATAATAATAAAATGACACTATGTGTTTGGAAATACATGACACTGCCCCTTTAAATGTATATTTAGAATCCTATTATAGTCCTATTATACTAGAATGATTACCAGTTTACTTAAGTGATTGTGAGAATGTCTGTAATTTATATGCAGGCTCCCTATTGTTGTTTTATAATGGCAGTAAGGTGAGTCATTCAATTCTCACAGAAAGTCTCTGTTGCATAACCTCAAACAAAGAACAGGTTATAAAGATTCAGCTTTCACTAGAGCCCTTCAGGTTCATTCAGATTGTTAAAGTAAGATCATCTCTACTACTGTTTTGTTGCTTTGTTTACTTGTACGTTTTTTCTTTTCTTTGGGAATACTTTTCACAACAACACAAAAGCCCATCTGCAGTTTCTGATGCCAAGAGACTTTCTGCTTATTCCAGCCAGACTGGCATCTGCAATAAATACAGAAATAAACGACAGGAGGTCTTTAAACAAAGGGATTTAAGAGACTGACATATTGGTGACATTTATTGTCTGGAGTAAAATTTGTTAAATTGAACTATGGCAAAAGATGAGAAAATGTAGGAAAAGCTGAATATAGAGAAAAGATAAAGATGTAAAATCCATAATGTGGATAAAAGTTTCACTGAAAACATGCTAAAAAAAATCCATGCTTCCTCCCCTTTCAAAATAAAATTCAAAAAATTTAGGGGATTTTTTTAAAGGAAGTGTGCAGTGCTGTTTGAGTACAGGTGGGTAAATAAAAATAGAAATCGACGCCACACTTTTCAGATTTTTATTTCTCTTCACTTATACACTGTAAAAAAAAAAGACTGCCACAAGGTTTCCTTCACGAAGCAAAAACTGGCAAACGGTTGCCTAATTTTTATTATTCAAAGCTGGAACTGCCCTAAACAAAGAATTCAAACACAATCAGGAAACATTTTTCAAAGTTAAAGAGTGGAAACTGAAACACAATTCAGCGTTTCCTTTCCATCTGGAACTCATCTTCAAACTCCGTTAAATCTTGTTTTTCTACATTTTTGGGGGGACTTTCCACTAATTCAGCGTCTATTGGGATGCTAACCAAAACTTAATTGTAAGGTTGAACATTATTAGGTTGAGGTTAAGGAACCAGAGTTGTTGAGGGCACAGAAGCCAGAAAAGTGTGTGTGTGTGTGTGTCCTCTGGTGCATTGCGGGTTCCAAGCAGGTTAGACAGAATATTTTCTAGATGAGATGTTTATTTACACAAGCCATAAAACTCATCCGAACATGCTTGTGTGCTCAGTGCATTAATTTTTCATCTTACAGTACTTGGAGAGTACAGACAACCAGATAGGCAGCATTATGGTTTGACACTGTTCATTCACATTACAATTGCTCACATACATCCACACACACACACACACACACACACACACACACACCTACACACACACACACGTTAAATGGATATTTGCAAGCTTAAACACAGACTCACAAAATCACTGACATTTAGAGCAAAAACCATCCATGTTACTGACAGGAAGCAGTAGGTCATGATAGTAAACGCTGAACATTTAAAAGATAGAGCAACAGAAACAATAACGTTCATACAGATACAGTAAGCTCACTTTTCAGCACTACAGAATCTACTTTCACGCATTGCTGAGAACCGTCTGTCATGTAATTAAAGCTGCTAAAATGTAAATTGTTCTGCTTTCAAGAAACATCAGAAACTCTTGCTCATGTTGATAACAGATTTATGGAAGAAACGCCCGCAAAAGATGTGTTGTTGAGGATTTTTGTGCCAAAGCAGGGGCTGGTATTTAAACTTTCGAGGAAGAGACGCATTGATTATTAGCAAAAAGTCTTTAGTCTTTTAGAAGTTAACTGTGAGAATCTGCAACATGAAATATTTTACCACATAAAAACACAAAGAAAATGTAACAAGTATTCACTTTAATCTGACATTAATCTTATGTAATTATGAATATTATTGATGGGTATATAATAAGCTCCACCATGTCTTTACAGCCTGACATTTGCAGTCAATGCCAGGAAAAAATGTCACGGTTTTGAAAGAAAACTGACATTTTTATGATTTTTCCCCACTTGGTAGATGAATTTTTGAGGATTTAAAAGTTTTTTTTAAGGTCTTTATTTCCTTTTGAAGAAGACTTTAAAAAAAAAAAACATTTCAAGATGTTCCTTTAAATTCCTAAAGCAGTTTGAATGACAGTTTTTTATTTATCCTAAATTAAAGCAAGATGTGGATGAAAATGATGAAAGTCAGTGATGCACCAACTGGCGGAAAGAGTTGACAGATTTTTAGCTTGATAATCGGTGAAAAACTCAAAAACGTCATCATTTTACAATTGAATGCAAGAAAGGGAGAGAGAGAGCAGTAGATAACAGGAAGGCCGAACAGATTACATAAAGATTGTGTTTATAATTTTGAGCTTTCTGGGGAACAAATAAGTTGTTTCAATTATCAGTAAATCAGTAAACCCGTTTTACAGTGACACAACATATAAATAACCGACTGATAGATGACGTCTTTAAATTTGAACTGTATTTTGTCATTTGTCAGGATGTTTATTTAAATAAAAGTGAGGTACAGTCGATGCATGCTGCAGAGGAGACGCTCCACACAACCTCTCAACAAAAAAGAAGTGAGTTTTCATCCAGCATCAGTGCTGAAGTTATTTGCAGCGATTTAGCTAATCGCAACACAGTTACACAAACATTATAGGACAAAACTGACTAACTGCGGTTCAACAAGGCATTTTACAGTGTTTCTCACTCACTCACACACAAAAAAACCCAGTGGAGCTGCCATGCAAGATGGTGGCCTATCTGGAGAAACTTGCTCCAAGACACTTCAGGATGAGGAAAGTTCATCTTCCACATGCCTGCTACCACCTGAGCCACAGCGGCCCCAACACTGTTTCAAACACAGGATTTTTTTCAAGTCAAACCACAATGGAAACTCACGAAAAACTGTTTCGTTAAACATACTTATGCTTCATAATAAACATGTGAGCAAAAACGAAATAAGAGAAATGTTTTAGAAATGTTCACTCATTCCCTGAGTGAAAGTTTGGACCCCAAAAAGTCTCTGAGCTTTTTGTGGCCTTTGACCTTTCCAACTGTGAAAAACCAATTTGTCAGTTTTTTTCTGCTCTCATTGGTCAAATGTCACGCTACATGCTCAGATGACAGCGTATTGTCTTGGGATTTTATGTGGTAGACCTACACAAACTAGCAGGTGGAGATAAGGGAAGTTGGCGCATTCTGCTGCAAATGTGTGGAAGAAGATGCTCTGAAAAACATTGAACATCCACAGAGTGGTGCACTGTAGTGGCAGCACATGGTGGTGGGGATGCGTTGCCTCAGCAGGGGCAAGAAAGGAGGTTTGCAATTTCTTCCACCTCAGAATAAAGCTCTACTTTCTGTTTGTCTGTCACAGACAGTCAGACGTGTGGTTGTAATCTGAGAACGCCTGCTGTGATATTTATCTTTGCGTTTAGTTCACTTCAGCGTCTTCAGTTTAGTTCGACCCATCAAAGACAAAGCTGCGCCATCTGATTATCTGCTGAGCAAATTGGCTTTTACTGGTAAATTAATTCACTGACAGTAAATAGTAGAAGCAACCTTACATGACAGTGTCAGAAAAGTCTTTGTGGATTCAACAGTAATACGCTGGAAACCACAAAGTGAGTGGGAGTGGTCTTTAATTGGCCGATGGAGCTGTTATTACGGCCATAATGAAATGGAAACACCCAGGAAAATGATTGCAGTCCGTCAGACTTCTCCAGCTTGTGTGTGCCCTGCAGGCAGGCAGGATGCACACTTCCAATAAATAGAAACGTGGAGTCACAAGCAACACCGCTGCGATCAAACGTTGTCCTCCGTGGGAGGACAGTTGGTCCACATGGTCGGGCGAGACAGTTCCACAGGCGCGCTGCAGTTTCCTTTGGCCAGCATCGACTCGCTCACGGAGCCTCTGAATTTCCCCAGCCGGGTCTTGCAGACCGACAAACAGAAGAAGTGCAGCACGCTGGGGGAGAGCAGGATGAAGACCCACGGATCGATGATGGAGTTGATGGAGAGGAACCGGAGGGCCCGCAGGTCATCTTCATGGGACTCGCCATCATCGTCTCTGATGGAGTTGTAGAAAACTCGGATCTGTGGGATTAATGGAGAAGTTTGTGTTAAATCAGCTTTATGACGATAATGACTTTTTTCCCCCCTGCTGTTTCCAAATACTACTTTCGTGGAAACCATTTTATGCTGAGAAACTGGATGTTCCTCGTTTCTGTTCATAGTACTGACCAAATCATCGTGACTGAAAACCACAGTTCACTACGTGACAGTTCTCTCTTTTACACATTTTATTTAACAACCACAAATCCAAAGTACAGCTCTGGAAAAAATGAAGACGACTTAAAATGATCAGTTTCTCTGATTAAATGTTTTATAGCTAAATGTTTGAGTGGAATGAACATTGTTCTTTTATTCTATGAACTACAGACAATATGTCTCTAACATTTGTTTGCAGAAAAATAACGAAAAACATTCAGCGCTTCCAGACCTCAAATGGTGCAAATAAAACAAGTTCATATTCTTTTAGAAACAACAATACTAATGTTTTAACTCAGTTCAGAAATCAACATTTGGTGGAAGAACCACGAAGTTTTCAGTCTTCATTTTTTCCACAGGTGGATTTAATGTGACAGAATTTAAATCGAATGGTTTTCAATTCTTTGTTTATTATTTACAAATAAAATCTAAAAAAAACAACCTCTAATTTGTATTGATTGTTTGTAAAATAAATTAATTTAATGCAGGAAATCATTTTCTGAAATCCGTTTTTTATTGCGCGTTAAATAAAGACGACTTTGACAATCATTGATGGTTTTAGTTCCACTTTTCTGCTGGTGGTTTGAAAACGTGATGTTCAACACGTCGCATTAATAATTTAAGGAATCAAAACTGCTTTCGACTTTCCAAGCTGAAAAGTGTTTTTATGCTGCAGCCACCTGTTGTTTATTTTTTTATTTTTTTTGTCTTATAGGAAAAACTGAGAGCAATATTTCATGCAAATCTGCAGGAAGATAAAGGGGTTAGATTCTTATCAGTGCGTCTCTCTTCTCAGCTTTCTTGTCAACAAAATAACCACACAGAGAACATCTTTGTCACACGTTGTTGCACTGACATTAACAAGAACCTTCTGATTTTATCTCAGTAAAGCAGACAGTAAGGTGGCGACAGGATGTTTACAGAGCACACAGTACGTTCTCAGTTCAACAAGATATTAAAGTACATTTTCAGCCAGTGACTAGCAGATAGCTCTCATTTGTGTGTTTTGTGGCTTTATAAGAGCCGGATGTTTAATGCTGAGCCAGAAGCAAATTGACATTCCTCTGCTGATTTCCACCAACCCGGTTCACACACAAGATACACATCTAATGAAATAATTAGATGCTATAAAACAAAGATTGCAAACTGTTCTCTACTGCTATTTTTCACATTATCTTTGGTCTAGCAGACAACAAACTTCAATTTCAGAGGATTAGTGGAGAAGTGCTTCAGCGTCGCTTTGTGAAAGATTTTGTTTCTTAAATTTAAAAGATGACTGCTTAGACTGAATTTTGTAAATTTTTACAATACTTGTGAAAATCTATGACGCTAAATGTGACTTTTTATTACTCGCTGTATTGATCACGGACTATAACTTCACATCAAGAAAGGCTGAGGCAGCAGTTACTAAGCTAAACCCAAAGTTTTTGGCCAATTTTGAGAAAAATATGCAGCAAAAATCAGAACAAAAATGTGGGGATCTGTTGATTTTGTGTGAATTTTGCAGATTTGTGAAAAACTACAGGGACTTATTGATGTAATTTGGAGCATAAAGGGCCACATAAAGAGCTATGGCGGGCCAGATTTGGCCCCTGGGCCTTGAGTTTGACACTTGCTCTAGAAATTTGTAAGAAAACATCGGGTTTCCCCTTAAAAGTATCAAAACAAGTCAAGTTTATGCTGTTAAAACAAAGACATCTAATCAGTAAATCTAATCTCAACTTCTAGCCGACAGCCTGAGCTGGCATGTGGTTAAAGTAAATGCTGATAAAATTCAAACAGTAAATGTTGCAAAATCCACAGATGTAAAATGAATTGGATTGTAATTCTACCATTTATGTATTTAACTCATTTTAATGTTTTCCTTCAAAACTCACATTAAACAGATTTTTTTTCCCCTCACCAACTCCAATACGTTGGTTTTCCTTTTGCATTCCTGTTCTCCATGACTGAGAACAGTAGGACGTACCTGACCTTTTTAAAGTAAGACACCTTTTTAAAAGGAACCATTTGATTGGTGTTCCTGGTGTGAAGACTGAGCAGCAGGTCTCTGCTTTTCCCCCCCTGTTGGGTGGAATAAATCAGCAGCTTAGACAGACCAAATGAGAAGCGGTAAACTCCCGGGAGCCATGGCACCAAGGTTGGGAACCGGCTTTTTATACAATCCATGGAAGCTGTGACTAGTTCACAGGTTTAGAAAATGCCCCTACCGTCCCTCTCAGGGGGGTCGGAAAGGAACAATATAGAGTTATAAAAGCAGCTTTTGTGGAGTGAGTGTTTTCTCTAGCAACTCTTTAAATCACTTCCTGCCTTACATTTATCATCTTCTCCTTTTCTCTGTTTACTGTCATTTTCTCTGTCCTTCTGCTTTTATCTTTGGCATTTTTTTAAATCTACCTTGTGGCGTAACGATGCAGACATGCAGCTCATAGCTTGGCTATTTGCTGCTGTTAAACTGCTGCATTTTCCTCAGCTTAACATGCCTATTAAGTCTTGCACAGCGGCACATCAGCAGCTGTTAATGTGGAGCGTAAAAAAATTGCTCCACTGCTTTAAGAGTTTACAAGCCGCTGTAATACTGCGTAAATTTCAGAAACTGTTATGACAACAAGAATGTCCAAATGCTTTAGTTTGTCTGAGTTTGGAGCAGCTTTTATTGCCACATGGCATCATTTCTCTGATTACTGTCAGTCCTCGACGTGTGGGAGAAACAAAAACTGTTTGTTTTTATCCAGGCTGAGCCATGACATCTGCTTCACACTGCGAGACTATTTTCCCCTCCGCTTTGAGCAGCAACAGGAAGTGTAATAAAGACGTTAATGTGAAGAGGCTGATCACCGCTCTTCAGTTTGAAGGACTGGCCCTGAGAAAGCAATACTAACACATTCTCCAGCTCTCCATGAGCGAGACCTTCTTTCTCTGTCTGGAGCGCTGCTGTATGGCATTTTCAATCGTTGATGCGATCAAATATGACCGCTGGCTCTTCACATTTACACACGTCACCATGCTGCAGCTTCATATTGGAAGAAAAATGTAATATAATCCAGGAGTCTAGTCAGTGTGTAGACTGTGGTGTCACTTTCTTAAGCCCCCAGGAGTATTTATATAAGGCTCTTAGTAAATTATTCATCTGCTGTAGTGGGTTTAAATGCGCCGCCCTGGGGCAGCTATGAAACATCATGACTGAGGTCTGTCAGCTTTAAAGCTTGAAAAGTGCAGAGCTATGCTTTGGATTCAGAATGTGTGTTAAAACCAGATATCTACAACAAATCTACATAATATTAGGATTGAATGATGAAAACAGCTTCAATTAACCCAAAACAACATTTCTTGGAGCTGTAGCTTCAGATTTGGGAATCAAGGACACTGAAAGTCCATCCAGCCGACCAAATCTGTTTGGTAAGGACAGAGTTTAGATGCATAGTCCTCGAAATACAATAATCTATCAAATCAAACATCCAAGCAGTTCTTTGCAAATTCAGATATTGCTCACATTGACGTTTGAATATATGCGATGACTATTTACATTCAATATAATATGTAGTTCTAGAAAGTAGTCTGAGCAAGTTTACCTAATAAAAATCTGAAATATATGGCATGCACACATGGAGAATGTCCTTAGGACAGATGAGACAAAACTGTAGCATTTTGAGGAAGCACATCAGATCAGCTCTATGTGCACAGATGCAAAACCGAAGCATGCCAAGAAAAGAACACTGTCCCTACTGTGGAACATGGAGGAGGCCTGGTCATGTCCTGGAGCTGCTTTACGTCATCTGGCACAGGGTGTCTTGAATCTGTGCAGGGCACGATGAAATCCCAAGACTATCGAGGCATTCACCGCAGGCTATGGGTCTTCCAACAGGATAATTATAGCTAAGACATCGAAGAATGGCTAAGAGCAAAGCACTGGACTGTTCTGAACTGACCTTCTACAACTCAACATCGGTGAAGGTTTCCTACATCCTGGTGTTTGGAAACCAATGCAAACAGGTTAATGGAACGGTTTAGTGAAAATATCATCAGATTTATACGGATGACTTGAAACTATCATTACATGACGAAATGTGACAATAGACAGGATATAAGCCAGACATGAAGGCTCTCCTGTGAATAAACTTGTAATCATCAGTGTGTAAATAGTGAAACAGGCCGATGGGAATGTCTGCTGTTTGTCGAAGGCCTTGCCAAAGTCCAATCTATTCCACTTTACTGAACCTCATCACTAGAAGCTTTTTGTTTATTTGTCCTCTTTCTTCTGGCCCACGTGTGACCTGAGTTTCTTATTATTAAACTTGAACTCAGGTTTCACCTGTAGCATCAGAAAATGTATATAATCTTTCAGATGAAGTCGGTTTTGTTTTATTAAGGTTTGCTTTTTTCTGAGCTAGCCGTCTGTCAAACTTGAGTCTGTGTTTGGATTCTGTTAGAAAGGTCAGAGGTTAATCAGACCAACGGAGACTCACTCTCTGTTGCAACATATTTCTACAGGAACCTTGTGGGAGTTTATCTGAACCCAGTCTGCAATCGGATCAGCTATCATTGGCCAGATTATTTTCTCTAGCTGTATCAAGCCTGGCCCCCCCTGTGGTCTTGTCTCTTGTTTTTTTTTATTTCTGTCTTTGGACCAGTCTATGCAGGTCATGACCTCTGCAGACTGGAAAGCATCTGGAGCTGCAGCTGCCAAAATGTCCAGCTGTCTAGATATTTATCTTTGCAAGAAATCCTTACTCCTGTTCATCCTGAACTGCAGAGAATCTGATGTAACTTAGTAATCCAGACTCTCCCTGCTGCCTTTCCCCTGGCTGTCCTTGTTTCTCCTCACTGTACCCAGATCACCTGTTTTATTTTGCCTCCTGATGAGAAGGCGACGAAAGCTGATCCCTGTGTCCTTTATTTGCCTATGTGGGTGTTTCCCTTGTGAGCTGAAGGGCAATTTAAATAGCAGCACTAATACTGGTACCATCTATTTAATGCTTTTTAAACAGATTCATCAAAGACGTCTTCATTCCTGCCTGCATGTTTCAGGTTATACAATACCAAATTATTTAACCTAAGTTTTCTCTGGACTCTTTTATAGATCTATATTTACTGATATTTACACCTTGGATGGAGTAGCTTGTCAGCATAAGCAATTTCCAATTGGGGATCAATAATCTATTCTATTCTTGAGCATGTTTTCTACTGCTTGTGATAAACTTTAAACAGGACTTTGAATGGATTACTTATAAAAATATATTTGGAAAAAATAGCACATAATTTTCCTTCCACTTTGTATTTATGTGCCACTTTGTGGTGATACAATAAAAAGTCAGTAAAATATGTTGTAGTCTGATGTTGTACAATGAATCAGTCTGAAGACTTTTCCACTTTCTCTATAGTAAAGATAATTTTTTTTGTGCATTATCACATTTTTAAACTCTGATATCACTTTGATATTATAACATATCAAAGTGTTAATCAAATAAATTACTTTAACTGTGCTTGTTGCAGATGTGTCTGAGAGAACACAGCTTGAACAGTTGGTTCAGCCTTCCTGTGGTCTGTCTGTGGAAAATTAACAACGCCATTTAAAAAACCAGGATCGAAGCAGAATTTAGCTTTTGCTGCAGAGATGATGGTTTCCAGCAACAGCTGAGGCAACAACGCACAAGATGGCACTTTGGTCCATTACAGCTGTCCACACCTAAGTGCGCAGCATCTAACGCTGCAGGGAAAACCTTATCGATTTTGCATCTCATGTCAGAAGTGTCACTTAAAAACCAACGTGGTTCCATACAGATTACTCAGGAGTCGCACTGAGAGGGCGTAATGGCTGGGTGATGAGTCATTTATGGGTACTCATTGATTGCAGCACCCAGAATCCCCTCTGTCTGTGCCAAAACCATTAGAGGTAGTCTAGGGGAAGCGCAGCGTCAGCTCTGGCATCTGCTAATCATAAGTTTGTTTCAGATATTCATTATATCTGTTTAATCAAACTGGCTGTCGGTGTACAGGGCAGCTCAGACGTTTACACTCATTATCACCATGAATGTTGTACAACTAGAGCTTTTAGTGAACCAGTTAAACAGCTGTTTGACTGAAATTGGAATCATAAATTTCACTAATATAAACACCTGGAGGTGAATGATTACACTGGTCAACAGCCAAAACATTGTCTGGGGTTTTCCAGCTGTTTTAGGGTCATTTTGACGAGCTGAGTCCAAAAATCACGCTGGTTTTGCTCAATCGGGTCAACTTTCTGAACTAAGCTACATGCTAGTTTGGGATGCAGTCATGATGGTTGATTACTGTTGGACTCTGAAGAGAGATCTCTCTGCTGCCGAGCATACGAGGCGGTCGAAGAAACTGAAGTTCATAACCTGAATTTTGCACAATGCTCAATTTACAGAAATCCTACTTTGTATCATTTAATTAATACACACTGTTATTAAGCCTTTTTTTTCTCCAAAAACCTTCTTTGGATGAGAAATATTAACAGAAATAAACTGATAACGTCATTAAAATGTAATCAGTTTAGTCAGATAATCGTATTTCTCTAAATCAAATTATAATAAAAACCTGACCGGATTGAGTAAAATGGATGTCATTTTGGATTCAGCGGTTCAAAATATTCCTAATTCAGTTGAAAAAACATAGACAACTTCCAGATTATGTTTTGTAACCCAGTTTAAGGCAAGAAACCACTAGAACAGGGTTTACTTGTTAGAAATCTCTGATCTCTAATGGTCAAGCATCTGGTGGCACTACTATGTTTTGAGTTTCCTGGAACATGTGCTGGTGGACTGAGATCATGAATGAAGACTACTTCAATATTTTTCCAACTTCATGTTGAAACTCAATCCAGATGGAAATTGAAATTGGATTGGAATCGTTCCAACACCCTGACATTAAGTTTCACAAATAAACCTGAGCTCATTCTTTAGAAAAACTGTTTGACTTGGCTTGAAACATGTAACCTACCAAAATAAATGGACTCTTCAATTTTACCAATAAATGTGATCAAATTCTGAGCCACAATTAAATGGTGTAAAGCCTCTAAAACCTGCTGAGGGCTATTTAACCTAACATTGAAGAGACTCTCTGCTTAATTCAGATGATTTATTATTATTTTCTGATATTCTTATATTTAAAAACCACCAAAACTGTCTCCTAATTCCACTAAAAAGAACAAACAGAAAATGTCATATTTATAATTAAACGCCCAAAAATGACACCCAGCCACTTGATGAAAGCATGCAAACGTCTTACCGCCGCCACATAGCAGTAAACAGCTAATCCTCTGCTGAGAAAAATGATATCAGGTAGATTACAGCTCCATCATCACATTTCTGTCAGCTAGCCAAACTAAACAAACCTCTTGACTCAGTGTCGACCCGGTGTCATTTAGCTAAGCCCCCCCAGGTTGTTATCAGACAGATGTTACATTAGTGAAATTTATGATTCCAGTTTCAAAGCCAGATACCCTTATCGTCTCATTACAGTTCCCATCCAAACAGCTTCCTGATGATATTACTGATCACATCCCGACTTCCCTAAACTTCAATTATAATCAGCCGCTGTATCTGCAGCCTGCTGGTAGCAAAGACGGTTTTCCTTTAGAACATAAAGTTTGCTTTGTGTGTCTTCTTTACTGCCATTTCAAATGGGTTATTGTTAGTTTTCATCATTAAAATTTGCGTTTTTAGGTCTTTTAATTAGGTATTAAATCTACAAATCTCACATGACATAAATGTATTTTGTTCTGGGAGCGAAATGTATCAATCTAATATTTGAACTTTTGGCATCAGCACCATCGCTGCAGCTTTGTTTCTGGCCAATATTAAATGGAAATGAAATAAAGCAGATATAAATCCTGAACCAGAATGAAGCGATAAACTGCATCTGCTTCTGCCGAGATCTTGAGTGACACAACACCAAACCACAGATCAAGTTTTTTCAGTCTTTCGCTTTCTTAGCTGATATTGATCAGATAAGATATACGAGAGAAGACATACAGTGGAAAATGTCACAATTTTTTTAGCCAACCTCAAAATGAGAAAATGAAAATAGTTCTGTCCACTTGAGAGTTTGTGACTTTTTCTGACATTTTCATTTAACCTTTGATGTTTAATGAAGCAGATAATGGTCGTCACTATTGCAAATATTTTCTATTTTCTTCAGTTATAGTTCTCATTCTGCACTGATGGTATATTTTTGTCACTGTCATATGATGACAAAATGAGTTCTCTCATAATGAGGAGATATTAATTTGGTTTTTGAGTTTATGACCTCATATGACTCTAAGGTTTGGTTTTTCATGTCATTCAGCGAGTCTATTCTTAACATTCATAAGATACATAATTTATTCTCAATTTGCAGCAAAAGGTCAAGATTCTGCTCAATCTTAGTTTACAAACGTTACATAAAGGTTAGATATCAGTCTTTAGAAAGCTAACAATCCAATATATTCTCATTTTAATGCACACACCATTCCTTAGGTTACGTTGATAACACTCTTCAGTGTAGACGTTGTTACTGAGGGAAGATTATTGAAGGTTAGCCTTCTCTATCCATCAGGAGTTTAAAAATGAAGTTAGCGGAAGCACAAAAGGTGTCTGAAGCTATTTAACAGGAAAGAAGTATCTCAGGTGCATGACAGGCTCTCAGTAGAGAAACAGACTTTGTCAGATCATTTTATACTTGGGATTTTTTTTTTTTTCTGCAGTTTTGGAACTGACTTTTTCAAGAACCAGGCTCAATATATTACATATTACATCAAAGTTGTTCTGTGTAAGACTCATCTCGTCTGTCTTGAGCTTCATATCTGTGACCACTATGGAAAATGTTAGATTTGTACATTTTGGCAGCATTTTGCAAACAGAAGAACAACGGCAAAGTGATTCAATGATATGAATCAGTTGTTGGAGCAGAGTATCTAAAACCTGCAGGACACCGCCTCTTCAGTTTCCAATCTTTGGTCTACAGTCTCCAGGGAATGACCTTGACAACTCTACTAATTGTTCATAAAGACTAAAGACTTTCAAAAGTCCACTCTGTACAACAATAGCTTTCGTTATTCGTAGTAGATTGAAACTAGGTCAGAACTCCGTCAAACTCTGATTGGTCCACTTCTAATCATAGCTGCCAGAAGCTTTGTTGAAGTGCTATGGTTTACTAGTTTATTTCATAGTGATGCTTAATGATTATCATTGGGTAGAAGACACAAATCACCTATCTTGGCACCACAATTATCTTCTGAGCCCAAAACTAAGCATTTTTATAATACCTTGAGAAAACTACACATCTACATTTACAGCTGGGACGGATGTTTTAAGTGATAACATCAAGATGTGTGTCGTCTGCTGTCATCTTACCACCATGGGCAATGTGCAGACGATGAAGATGATAGTCATGAAGACCAGTGGGATAAGGTGCTCCACCTCATCAGCCACGAACACCCTGCGCTCGCTGCTAGATCTCATGCTCTTCATCACTGAGCCTTGCCTGTTGCGACGGCGGTACATCCGGAACAGCTGGTACGCCACGAAACCGTTGCAGGCCACAATCGACAGGACCAACACCAACATAATTGTGGCATATAAGTTAGCATAGACCCGGTGCTCTTTCTCAGGAGGGTTCATGTCAATGAAGCACCATGTGCCAGGGCAGTATTGCACATATACACCAAATTCCACAAAGGGAAGCAAACTGAACAGGATACATACAAGAAACATAACAGAGATTGTGATATAGGCCCATTTCTTGGTGACAACCCGGTTGTACAGGTAGGGCTGTCCTATTGCAAAGCATCTGTCCAGTGCTGTAATGAAGAGGAGCGATATGGTGGCCAGACTGAAGAAGGTCATGCTGCTGCCAAAGTAGTTACACACACTGCTAGTGCAGTTAACAGCACTGCTAGTGAAGTTGTTTGTAGTATTGGTACACTTAGGAGCCATCCCAATCAAGGTCGTGTTCAATGCATAGGCAATCTGAACTAGGGGGGTGGTCAGGCAGGTTCCAGTCAGGTCTGTGAACACCAGAGAAATGATGAAGATGTGGAACAATCCTCTGCGCCGCCTGTCATTGGCCCTGGCGTCCCTTCGCCGACGGATTTCCAGGATCACCAAGGCAGCAACGTTCCCAAAGACTCCTAAGCCAAACATGATGGCGCTGATCATTGGGGATTTATTAGGCTCTATATCTTTTTTGGAGTGGCATTTGGTATATTTGTATATATCGGTATTTGCTGACATGGCAGAAACCAAGTTCTTCTTTCCTTTAATGAAAAACTGTTTCTGCAAATCCAGCAGAAGCTTAAAAGTGGATCTTTAAGTAGTTGTCTGGAGCCATCCTGTTAAAACAAACAAAAATATTTTAGAGTCTGAGAGAAGCAACAATTAAACAGTTCATTAGCTAATCCAGCAGGTAGTTAATATTCAATTGCAATTTCATCTCTTCCTAAAAATCTTGTATTGGATTGTAGTTAAATACTTTAATGAATTATCAAGAATAACAGTCATAAAATCAAAACTATACATTTTATTACAAAAAGCAAAAATTAAGAATGATCTTAAATCATCAGTTACAAAAGCAACAAAATATCCAAATTATGGGCCAAACGTATTGGTATAAAAAGTCTTCTGGCAGACGCCTCCATTTTTTCCTGACATGTCTAACACGCGTTTCTTTTTCTTTTGGCATAGAAAACAAACCGGAAACATTTCTTGAAAAATAGTCCAGTCAAAATAGTCAGTAGTCAAAAAATTGTCATGATTATTTTGAATGAGAATTTATGAACAATTTGCAGACCTTTATGTTTGCTCAAGATGTTTTCTGTAAGTTTATTTGAAGTTTGATTAAAATTAGTTCAATTCAGTAAAACCAATCAAATCATCAGGGCGGCTGCTTTTACGGTTTATTTCCTAGTAAAGGAGTCTAAAACTTTTACCATCTAAAGTTTTTTTTCTAGTATAAAGTCACAAAATCTACAAGACTATTTACTGATGGAACAATAAAAAACATAGACAAAAACATGTTCTTGAATTAGATCAGCCATGTTTTAAAATGAAAAGAAAAGTTTAAGCCTAATGTGGAATAAAACAAAAAAAATTTGTAACCTCAAAATTATACTCAAATCTAGACTCACATATTTAGCCCTTTTTGACATCCTGCAGGTTGCAGAACCGTTTGATATCGGATCCTCTGATTCTGCTCCAACATCAGATAACTTTGCTCCAGGATTGTAAAACCTGCTAGTTTAATGTGCTTATCTTCCGCCTTCGAACAGAGAACCTAAAAGTCTCATCTGTAAAGAATGTTTACGTTTCTCCCTGAGCTTCAGACTGTTTGGACCCACTCAACAACCGACTCACCGCACCGCTCTAATTTGATGTTTCAACACTTTGTGTAGATTAACATGCATTGTACGGAGCATTACGTTAGTACATCTGTAATTAAAGAAGGCATGCAGTGCAGCATTGCTCCAACTGTAGTTGCGAAACCAGGAGTTGTTCCTCTTATGATTTAACAGACATCAGCTGACAAGCTGAACTGTAAACTGTCATCCCACTTCCTGAGAAATGGATGATCGCATGTATGCTCAGATGCTGAAGCGTCTTGTTTCTGAAACAATTGTTGCTCGAACATTAGACCTGTAGATTCCTGCAGCCGCTGCCATGCTCAGATTACATCGCTTCGAGGAGGGATTCAAACTCAGTCAACCTTTCCAGATTTTATAGCGACAAACTTCATGGGAATTTAGTCAGAGATGCATATTTTAATTTCTTGCTAAAACAAGAAGCGAGAAAATCTAATTTTTCACAGCATTGAAAGCTCTTTTACTTCCTACTTTCCATAAAATCCCAGTAAAGGTAAAAATGGGATTTACATACCAAATTAGGTTTGTGAGCTTTTCTAGTTCTTCGAAACTCGCATGACTTTGTGGCCCTGCAACCATATATCTGACTGACTTTCTTTTTTCCTGCTGAAGATCGGGGGCATCAGATGTCACTGGATCAATGCAAAGAGGAAGAACTGCCTCCAACTTTTAGCCAAAAACCGCATCTCCAACAGATGTGTCCAGCTGTTGGCTGCGTCAAATCTACAAATGACAGCTTTTGAACAAACTCTCACTTTTAAAAATATACATATAAAGAAAATAAGGCTTAATAATGAGCATTTTGTTGACGCAGTATATGTTTAAAACCTGGAGTTTTGATTTAATTAAGGCGCTCTAGCGTTTTTATTTATATCACGGAAATATTTACACGGAGCGAAAAGAACCAGCGCGTGCCCCTTACTGTCAGATCCGCGTGGACCCCCCAGCGACCAAAAACACCCGGATGATGAAGTTCTCACCTGCTGTCAAAGTGAATCCCTCCAGCGCGTTTCTGCCTTCCGCTACTTCAAACAAACCAGGTTCGGCTCCTAAATATCCAGGCGAAGTTTGAATCCTCCGGGACTGCGCTGCTCTGAAGGTGAGCCGCCGAGAGGGGTGAGGCGTGACGCGATGTGATGAAGCGGGCATGAACTGACTGGGGCTCAGAGAGCGGGGCGGTGACGTCACACCGCGGCCACGCCCACAGCCGCTGTGCAAGTTTGAGCTGGTTAGCTGGCCGCCACGCCTTTGCATTCTGGGAAGTATCTCCATAATGTTCAGCTTTCAGTATGCAGATCTGTTTACATGGAGCTTTCAGAGGGAGTCTGGATTAAAAACAAACTAATATAAGGAAATAAATAAAGTTTTTTTTTCCTTCCCCAAGCTTTAACAATCGTTTTACCTGTTCAACTTTTCCACAGTTTGTTACAGTGAAACCACCATCTTTTCTTTTTCTTCTGTAGATGTGCTAATCCAAAAAAACTAATTTTATGACAAGAAAATAAGAATAAGAGGTTTGAGATGGATTAGTAAATGTAAATATTTTCTTTCAAGATTTTGTCCTCCTCCTACAGACATTCTACATCAATTATGCCTCAAAATATTAATAGAATTTTTTTTTCATAAAAATGTGTTATTTGAATTTTATCCAGCTGTAAGTGATCATTTTCATAGAAAATCAGCATTGCACTTGTTGCTCAAATCAATTAAAATGACTCTTCAAAAGTATCCTTTAAATTCTGAGAGGGCTACATGTATCTGAAAACATTTCGCAAATTGGCACCATAAATTAATAATATATTTTTGTAATGTTTAATACTTTGTACCAAAACTAGAAATGAATTAAGCCCAATAAAACTTTGAAAATGCTGTCCACCTGACTGTAATAAGGTCTCAAAGAGAACATATCAGTTTCTTATTATTTGTGTTTTTGCATTCTGGTAACATAATCTCCCAGTTTGAAACAATTCAGAGTTTTTACACTCATTTTCTCTTTAACAGAGTCGGTCATCTTGATGTGGGTTCTACACGCTGCAACCCGTTTAAGCTCCTCAGGCTGCAATTCTTTAAATAAACAGCGAAGATTGTACGTGCCGCGGCGAAACCGTCTCATATCTCCAAAAACCTTCTGCAGAAACTGCTTCCTCTTTGCTCTGCGATATTTTGAGAACGTGCAGCATTGAGTGTGTGCGTGTGTGTGCATGCGCCTACCCTCCTGGGTCAAAATGTGGAGCGTGAAAGATGTGTGTTTGCTTCCTAAAAGTGCCCCGAGGGCTTCCTCCTACAACATTTGAGATATGAGGGTCTCATTTCCCATCTGGATTAATATAACTTTCTCTTCTTTATGATGCGTCCCTTATGACCCAGAGATACAATCAGCGGCTTGGCCCCATTCCCCTATGGCCACAACAAAGTAAGGATCTAATCAACAAGTGACTAAAAATGGGCGTTTTGTTGGAAATTTTTATTTTTATTTTTCAGGGTTTGGTTCTACTGGATTCCTTTTTGACAACAGACAGCCATCATGATGCCAGCCATGAAGACAAACATCTGCTCAGTGTTAGTGAAAACATATTAAGTGTTCCATAATGCATTGAAATGCTGTCGCATCGTTTTACCTATTAGGAAGAGTAGAAAAAATGCCTGTCTGGTCTTGAAAAGGGAAGTGATGTACGCTGAAAGCCTTTAAATTGCAAAAGTGCTTTCATTCAGCCCCATTAATGAATCCCTAATGGTTCTGCTGTAATTTTGTCTCATCATCCCTGGTCTCTCTTCGGCTCTCGTTTTGCCCACTTTCAGTTACTTAGAATATTCAGTGCCTTGTAAAAGTATTCATAATCCCAAATTTTTCATGCTTTCACCTCAATCATGATGTATTTTGATTTGATTTTATATGATAAATCAACACAAAAAAAGGGAATAATTGAGAAGTGGAAGATAATACAAGGTTTTCTCAGATTTTCCTAATTAAAAAAGAGATTTTGCACATTATCTGAGAAACACTGTCCTTTATGGTGGCAGCATCATGCTTTGGGTCGACTTCTCTTCTGCACAAACTTGCAAAAGATGGTTCTGTAAAAGTATAAAATTTAGATTTTCAAGTTGCACAATCGTAAATGGATCATTTTCATTTCACTTTACAGTCGAAATCACAATAAAATGTGACGAATTGTGAATATATTTAGAAAGCATTCTAAGTTTGTTAGAATTATTATAAAGTCAGAGTTATATGACTCTAATTGTTCAGGTTCAGATCTCAAAAATATAAGAGGAAAATCCCGATCTTTCAACTTGTTTATCCACATCGCTGTTTCCTTTTTCCTTTGCTCCATATTCGCTTCCCTTCACCTCTTTCACCTCAGTGACATGGGACCATATTTCACTTCCTTTACCTTCACTTTTCTTCCATTTCCCCCTTCTCTGCAGTTTTTATTTTTTCCTTCCTTGTTGCGTTTTTCCCAGCTCTCCCTGCCTCGGTTGCTGTGTCTCGTTAAGGTCCTTGGTTTTCCCCACTCCCTCTGTTACAGCACACATTTCAGTCCCTGCTGATTCTGAATTATTGATGGGTTCTTTGAATTTTATTGAATATCAAATGTCTCCGTTGAGACGTGGGCAGCCATCGTCCGGTAATCACACGTCGTTTTTAGCATGACTAATGTAGTATCAGAATTATTCACAGTTTTCAACCACCTCCGTATAATCCAGGGTGTTAGTTTTCATGTTAAGTTTAATTGAGCGAACAGTCGATACTGTATGTTTAACTCAACATGCTCAACCGCAAGGAAGATGAGTCTAAGCTTGCCTTTGGCGCCACCTGTAGGTTTATTTGAGTAATTACGTCATGAACTCTGAAATTACACATTTCAGTTATTTAGTTAAATCTGCATTTGTTTTTATTGAAAACCATAAATATTTTTTTCCTAAACTTCACAATCACCTTGCATTAATTTTTGTTGATCTATCAGATGAAATCGTAATAAAGCACATGTAACATTTAGATGATGATTCTCATTTACTTTGTAGTATTTACCTTCTTTTTGGTTGTTTTATTGTTTTCCAAAGAAACCTTTTGTTTATTATTTATAACTATGATAAGTTGAAATGTATTTACTTGATTTGGAATCTGACTGTATGACTGGATTGAATAACTTTTTACTTTTGAAGCTGCTAATAGGTTTTCTTTTCACAAATACTCTGTTTTTATATTTAGTATATTTATTGAAATATACTTACTTGTTATTTATTTATTTACACTGCCTTTGAGAGTTGCTATTTTTTTTAATTTGTTGTACTTTCTTGCACAATGACAATAAAGAGATTTTTATTCTGTGTATAAATTAAACACAAATGTGTGAGTATAACTGTATGGTGACACTGTCATAAACATGACATAACACCTGTTATGAACATGAAGCAGTCTTCGTAAATGTTTATATTGTTATGAAGTGTTATTTGGTAAATAAAGAAACTTTTAATGCAAAGCTGCATTAAAAACAGCATTGAAAGTCCATTAAAAGTGTCAATTTTGCATTATGTGGTAATTAATGACTCTTTTAATGTAAAGTTGCACTACAAGTTACATTAAAAGTCAATTAAAAGTGTCAACTTTGCAAATTTTGGTAAATAATTAATTAATAATTATACTTTTAATGCAAAATAACTGCATTAAAAGCCCATTAAAAGTTATTATTTACTGAATGACACTTCACAAGAAGACTGTAGACGATATAGGAAGGCTTCTTCATATATCGTGTTTATTCACACCCTTTTAAATAAAGTGTTACCAAATGGGGTAAAGTTTGTGATTATAACGTGACAAAATGTGGAGAAATGTTAAGGAGTGGGACGGGATTTAAAGTGAGGCTGCAGTACACTGGTGCAGACGCTAGATGGCACAAATGAGCCAGGTTGATGTCGCTGCCTTGATTAAACTGAATAAATAAAAATAAATATTAGAAATTAAAGTTTAAGATTTCTTTCTTAGTAATATGTTAACATAAATATAGATATTTTTAAAGTTTATAGTTTTTCAGTGAACCGAGTACTGTGCGTGTATTAAGATAGTTACGGAATCACATGTCTTCATGAGCACTGAGAAACAGATATTGTTACATCCGGATTAAAAATGCTCCATTTGTCCTTTTCTCTTAATTCGAGCCAGATGTTACCTCCAGCACCGGGACGCAGCGTGTCACTCAGCCTGCCTGTGACCAATCAGTGCGGGGCTAAGCTCCTCCCTCCCGCCCCGGCAGGAGCGGCTGGGTCCCGGCGGGGTTCTCCTCCTTTCCGCTGCTCCGCTCTCCGAGTCCGGCCGTTTCTGCTGCCAGAGCTGCTCGGCCTGCCCATGGACAGAGGAGCGATGCTGACCGCGGCTCTGCTGTGCTGCTGGAGCTGCACCGTGTGTGTGGTCACAGCCATCCGGAGGACGGATCTGTTCCCTTTCGGGGATTTGAACGGAGATTTAATTTTACCAGAGGGCGACGATGAGACATCCAGAGCGCTGACCCTACCGAGACCCTTTTACTTTTTTGACTCCCCTTTTTCCCAGCTCTATGTAAGTCACTTTTTAGTTTTATTTTTTTCCTCCATTTTTAGCTTGTGATAGCTTAATTTGTTCCAATGCATTTGCAAATTTGCTCCAGTCTGTCATTCTCCTTAACATGGAAAGAGTTCATGCACTTAAAAGATGTTTAAAAAAAAAGAAAAGAAAATTTCTGTTTAGCTATAATTGTTTATACATTTTTTTAACATTAGAGTATTATTAATGTACTTCAACAATCATAAACGAAGCAGGTGAAGCTATTATTATTGTTTTTATGTCATTTGCCGATGTATCTAACCGGTCTCTCTTGTAAGTTTCAATAAATTTTCCTGTATAAAAAAATTATTATTACTAATTGTAATAATAATAATAATAAAAGGTAAGAAACAGGCTACAAGGTTTTCCAAACTCTACAGAATCCATCATGTTGTAATTTATTTTTAAATTTGCGAATAAAAATCTGAAAAAATGAATGAACGACAACAGGCTGTTGCCACCACCATCTGTAATGAAGTCTATTTAACGAAGTGGAAGGAAAATTATACATTTTCTCAATTTTTACAACGATTTAATCTTCATAAATGTAGCTGTTCTGCAAGGGTTGTTTTGAAAACATTAGTGAACAAACTTCAGTTTGAACTTCAGCAAGTCATCTGAAAAACCAGTTTAAATTGGAAACATTAAGTAATTAAACAGATGTACCTAATAAAGTGAATACTAAACAGAGATGTTTCAAGTAAAAGTTCGTCAGTCTGGGCAGTAATCATTCAACGTTCTCCTGATTAAATCTGTTCATTTTGTACTTCTTTGCATCACACTTCACAGGAATTATTGGTCATGCTCTGCCATCAAGGATAATATCAGACTGAAAGTCATTTAAATGTGGTTTGCTGGTTTCCTAAACATAATCAGGTCCAGGCAGGGGATCCTTGGGGCTGTTCCAGTGGTTTAGGGAGGCAATGAAGAGGTTCATTATGTGGTTCCCGGGGGTTCCAGTGGGTTATAGGGGATGTGGGTTTATTTGGAGTCATTTTTTAACACCAAAGCTTGATTTGTGTCTTGGTTTAGGTGGCCACCAATGGCATCGTCTCGGCTCAGGATCTGCCAATGGAAAAGCAGTATGTTGATGATGGTCTGCCTACAGACTTCCCTGTTGTGGCTCCATTCCTAGCCGACATCGACACAAGTGGAGGACGAGGAAACATTTACTACCGCGTTACTGAAACACCCAGCATACTTAACAGATTCGCTCAGGTATGTTGGATTTAAAGATGTCTGGTTTTCAAACTTCAAAAATGTAAAAACCGTGCTTCAGATTTGACTTCTTCCCTTTTTGGTTCATCCTCCATTAGTGCATCTCATTGTCCTTCCCTTGTTCATTTGACATTCTCTCCCTTCTTCATCCGTTGGTTCATTCATCTTACACCTCCAGGAGGTTCACCGGGGCTTCCCAGATGCAAAATTCACTCCCACGCATGCTGTGGTGGCAACGTGGGAAAACGTCGCTGCGTACGAAGAACAAGCTCGAGCCAATGGCGCCACCAACAAGGTACAACACTTGTAACCTTTGTCCAAATTCAACCCCCTACTAATGGGCTGGTGTTCTGGAGACACACAGTCCCAAATTCCAGTAAATCGTGTTTCGTTCAAACTAATCCTGAGGTGGGAGGTACATAACCCCCACCTTTCCCCTCCTAATCTGCCTCTTAACCTTTTTAAAGGGTCAGAGGCCATCTTTAAGTGTCATCAAAGAGTCCCCCGCCCTACCAATCCATTACTCCTTCCTCCAGTTCCCACACTAACCTTACCCACTCAAGCATAGACCAAGTCTCCCCTCTCAGTATGTTACCTAGTCTTCATAAAGTTTCTAGAAATATTGTTTCATATAGTTTGGGGGTTTGAGAGGAATGTAGAGAGGAAATAAGTTGCTGAAACTGGGTCAAGAGTTTAGCTGTAGGCTACAACTTGAGTCATGTTTGTTTACCTTGCAAGTTCCAATAAATGCATCAACAGTCATCACTAAAGTCTTTCAATACTTCAACTAATTCTAAAACCAACGAATAGTAAGTGCACAAAGTATGTGTCTTATGTCCATACGGTTAGAACGGTCAACAAATAAAACAACCAAGTTTTCCCTGCAGGAGCTGTTTGACAGATGTGCCCAGCTCCAGCTGTTGCTCCCATGATGAATGGCGCAGTACGTGGGCTAAACTAGCTGCATGTTGTGCACCTGTTTCATTCCTTTCCAAAAGATATAAGCTTAAGCTAGTTGACCGGATTTACAGTATTTCACAACTCATGCCTTGAAAATCCACGTTGTCACGTTAAAACAGCAACTTGCAATGTATTTTGTTGGGGTTATGTAAATCAAGAAAGGAGTACAGCACAACTGCCAATGGAGGGCAAAAACCTACTCACCGAAGATGAATACCATTGATTTTAGCTGTTAGCCTACCTAACCTACCAGCATAACGCACTAAATCTTAAATATACAGCATGATATATGAAAGAAAACGGGACACAGTGCTTTGCTACTAATTGTCAACAATAAAGTCCAAGTGTATCACATTACACAGGTCAGGTTAATAGCTAGGGAGACGGAAGTAGTTATGCTAGCTTGACTTTGAAAACCTTAACATGTAGATGTGGTGTGGATTTATTTTACTGGGTTCAGTAAAACAAATACATAATACGACCCACTCACCATCTCTGACAGATCATCTGCATAGCAGGTATTTAAATTATCTGCGTTCAGACGATCACTTATCAATAACATTCAATATGTCTATAGTAACTCTGGAGGAGTTACACAGATCCACAGCTGGGAATCTTTCAACCTTCCTTTCCATCACAAAAAACTCTAATTCAATGAAAAGCATAAAGTTTCAATACTTTCTGAGTCACTACATGTTTGTGAAAAATATAGGCCCTTCATTTTAAGCAAGTCACAGTTACAGGCCTGTTAGAAAAGGTTTTCTTGAACTGCATCAGAAACTTTGCTTCGGTTAAACCCTGGGAAAGTCTCCAAGTAAAGCCAGGCAGACTGAGGTGATCGATTGAACAAACATTGCTTTGTAGTTCCTGTTGTGCAGCTTGTGGGATGGTGGGATGAAGGGAGTGGCAGATTCAAGGAAAACCCCCAAGGAATCTTTCTGTGACCGTCCAACCCTCTCAGCAGTGGTTGCTCTTTGTCTTCGCTTTCCTTGTATATTTTCTTTTAGATTTATTTCTATCTTGCTGCATGATCAAAAGCCAAATATTGAAACAATTATGAAGCACTTTAGGACTTTGCTCAGTACCTTGAGCTTGGTTTGACTGCAGTGATGCCAATGTTTTAAATCAGGATCAGTCTCCTGATCTACTGGAGTTTGTAGTTTAAAGGGTCCATCCTTTTGGAACGGATTGGTGTCTCTGCTTCACTGTGTCTCCTTTGGACTGATAGCCTCTTCCTTTGAAGACATTAGCCAGAGGTGCAGGGTGGAGTGGAAGGGGGCTGGGATGGTATGTGTGTGTGTGAACTGATTAACCTGAATTGTGTGTTTTTTAGGTTGTGTATAAGAAGTCATGGGATGGTGTTTTGGGGGAAGGGCCAGACTGTGGGGTGTTCTGGAGTTGGACGGGAAACAAGAAGTGCTTAAGGAAACAAATAACAGACATGAAGACCAATAAAGCAAGAGAGTCACCATTCACATCATTCTTTCTTAAAAAGATAGATTGACTTACATGTAGAAAAATGCTACTAGCATAACATTTATCAATTTGAACACAAAGACGTTGGTATATTAAGTTTGCTTACTTTGGTAATGATTTATGCAGGAAAGCTTTCAATTTTTGTTTTTAATAATATTTACAGAATTCTACCTTCAGTTTTAATCTTTGTAATTCTGCTTTGAATAATATTGACCAGAAAATAATGATCAGAAGTGTAGTTTAAAAGGTAAAAGTTTGATCAAAACATGGATTTTAAGCTAGCAGATGCTGTTTAACTTATCTTAATTTAGCTTAATTTAGGTTAGCTTAACTTAGCTTAAAAACCAGGAAGTGGGAAATAGATCGGCTAATGCCTACTTTATTTTAACGAATGTGTTAATGGAGCAGTGTTAGCGATTTCTTTCACCACTTTAACCATCATAGCTGCAGTGTATCTGTAAGTACTTCCAGTCTTTATGCAATAAACGTAGCTTCACCTTTATGTATTATTAAATCATATTGATGTTCATCACTCCAAAAGTTTCATAAAAACCAACTAATCTACCCCAAAATAATCTAACAGATGCATTACTTACCTTTCCAGGGAATGACCTCTATCACTTGAGCTTAGTCAGGAGATTTCTGTTTATTAAAAAATGAAAAAGAGGTGATTTTCATCACACCTGTGGTAATATTGAAGAGAACTGGAGAAATGCAGCTAAAACTACTAAATAATATGTAAATAATATATTTAAAGTCTGTATTCACTTTTGTCTCATTGCATCTAGAATAAAACAAACACAGCATTTCATAAAACAAACAATGTACCAACAGGAACTATTATGTTTTCTGTTATTGGTGAAAATCCTGAAGGAGACTGTCCCGCCATCCCCAATAAATTATGGTTTTGGAGTGACCTAGTTAAAGTACAGACTTAAATCTGACTGAGATGGTGAGAAAAACCCTTAAATTTAGTGGCCGACTTGAAGGAAAGGAATTCAGCAAAGAATGGGTGAAAATTCTTCCATATGAATAGAAACTTAGGATTTCTACTTAAGAGGGTTTTAAGCCGATCATTTCATACAGAATGTCCCTTTAGTTTTCCTGTCTTCCTCACATGAGAGCTACAAGTGGAAAATTCAACTTGGTTTTCGCTTTAGCACCATAGGAAGCGTTTCAGGAATATGATTTGTTGTTTCTGAGGCCCTCCAGCTGTGACGACTGGGGGTTCTTCTTGGATTATGTTCATTCAGCCTCAAAGCGTGTTCTGACCACTCTTCAACTTTAACACCATGTTATTCTGACCACATGCAGTGGGACCCTTTGAGATTTTCCGTTTTTTAAGAGGTGAGGATGACAAAAACGACATTAAATCTGGAAACCAGTCTGAAAAAATATGTTTTTTTTATTTCAACAAACCAGAATATAATCTGGAAATGTTCTTCAGTCAATTCAAACGTTTATAAACTCAGACACAAAAGTTTATAAGACATGAGTGGAGCATTGAGTGGACAGTTCCTGACCAGAAATCAGTGCGGCGGTGTGTGTTAATGTGTGTGCCTGTGTTGCCAGTTCCCACGCTGCAGCCACGCTGGTGATACTGGCAACCGGACCACAGCTGCTGTCTGTGTCTCTGCCTGTTTGCAGCTGCTCTGTGGTTAACAGGCTGAAACACCAGCAACCAAAAACACACATGTAGAACATGGATCCTGACCTCTTTTCCACTTTATGCTCCAGGCTAACCACACTACACATACCTCTGACTTCAATTTGTGCAAGGCTACAGCGCCGAAATGCAGCGCTTCTATGTAATTACGCAAATGGGTTTCTTTGGAGGTATTTTCAGCAGTTAGCATGTTACCTTTACTAAATGACACATGGTTTTTAAAAGAGTTAATGCTGCTGCGGTTATAGATGCAAGTAATTTGGGATGCTTCTCTGCCAGTTTTGCATTTAGAGACTCCAGTTTTTTCCCATTTTTCTTTGGCACGTGGTCCAAACTCAGGCAGATTTTAAAGTCTTGCCTTTGACTTTGACTGGACCATTCTAACACATAATCTATCATTCCAGTCTTCTGTTTGTGCCTAACAGGTTTTGTTCATTGTTTAAGTCCATCAATCTGGATTCTGTTTACTAATATGGTGCCTTCTTAAGGACTGAATTTTGTTTAGAAGTATTGGAATAAATTGGGTTGTATACATCTGTGCTGCACTTTTTATGTTTTTAGCTATTCAGTCGAATGTGTCGGCCGAAGAGACACAAAAAAAGACACAAAAATAGAGATTATATAACATTTACAGTGATACCAGAAGCATCTTAAGTCATTTGTAGACACGTTTTCAGAGTTGTCAGCAGTTTTTACAAGCCAGATTTGCAGGACCGTAACTCCGCGATACTTTGCGCTATCTGAAAAATACCAACGGTTTCTGAAAGGGGAGACGTTGCGCTTTCCAGCCATTATCAGGTTATTGTTATTTTAATGTGGTGAAACACTCTTTTAATAGACTTTAAATAACTGCTAAATGTAGAATGTTCTGGATAAACGGGCAAATATATTTACTAACAGGACATTTACAGAACTCCATACAAATAAAATAAGAAAAAATATCCAGACGGAGATTTGAGACTTAGGCCTTAATGTTAAAATCAATGTATCAATCTTTTTTCTTAACGTGACAAACATTTAAAAGCTCTAGATGTGTGAATATTATCGTGAGGTATTCATAAAGTTAGTTAGTGAGCCAAATAAAGTTTTAAATAAAGCCTTGTATATCAACTTTGATTAACACAGAGGTCTTGGGTTGTTTAAATTAAAGACTGTGACGCTCTGCGGTTTGTTACGTGTAATGTGAAACATGTGAAACACATGTTGCAGAACAGAACACACTACATGAAGCTGTGTGATTCAAATTTAATGCAGACATTGTAATTATTTACCGGGACGTCCAGACAGCAATCAGGCAGACAACGCAACCCACATAACATAAATCATCTATAATCTCCCCGAAAAAAAAAGCAGCAGCAGAAGGTTTGCAGTAATTTATGTCTGTGTTTGTCTTTGGTCAGTACCACCAGTGTCAGCACCCTGTTTTAAAAAAGAAAAAGGTGTGCGGGAATGTCTGCAGGAAGGTTGAGTGTTGAGCTACAATTTCTGAAAGCCTTTCATCTCTGTTGGCTGTAATTTGTTTTCTTCCAGCTGTGAGTCTGTAAAGAACACCGAGAGGTCTTTGCCAAGGCAGTGAAAGAGCACAAGCATTTGGCAAACAACCAAACAGATAGAGGCGGGATTGGGAGGAAAACATAATAAAATGGGCCTTTCCCAATATACTGTAGTAGGTGGAGCGAACTGAAGATTATAGCATTAGTCATTAGTGATTGTAACAACATTAACACAATGTTTAGTCACACAGAGAAGACATTCCAAGTGAATTCAACATTTACTTAGTGCTTTTGTATCCTCCCATTCCCAACGGTAAAGACAAATCAATACCTGCTTAAAGGACAAACGAAACTCATAGGAACATATCTGCTCTAATTTATTGAATGTGACTATGTGTGTGGGGAGAGAAAAACTCAAACATTTCTTCAAAAGAGGTATTTGGGTTTTCTTCATCATACGTAAACTCAAGTAGCTGTTGTCTCCCTTTGTGTTCTTGTCAGAAGATGTTCAGTTTGTTGTTCCCTAAACTTAGCAGATCTACACCGTTTCCCTCCAGTTCATCCACCCCCCAAACTCTTTAACCAAACCTTTAGAGAGTCCAGAAAGTGGAACTAGATGTGCCAGATTTCTGCTGTCCTGCTCCACATGAGACAAATGGATAGTGGTGGAAATGTACTTTCGTTCCTTCCCAGTTTGTTGTAGTGATGTGAGAGCTGAGTGGAGGATGAGCTACTATTTGTTTGTTTCAACATTCACCAATGGGTTTAAACTTTGTGTAACCATTAAAAAAAATTATGTTGGAAATGGGATTGATATCATGTCATAGAGTAAAATTGTTATTTATTTGCCTCTAAAGAGACTGATGTTATCCTTAAGTATGCTTTGCATGCCCTCTGGGCGTCTTCTAGTGGAGTCGTTTTGACCATGCTCCATAAGGAGAAGGTCTTAGGCCAAACCCAAGGCAAACAGCAATAAAGCCAACCCAGGAAGAGGCTTATCTTTACATTCAAACTGTTTAGTGCTGGAGGTATTTGGCTCTTCATTGTGATCAAGTGTCCAAACTTCAATATCCGTTTCCCCCTTAGCCTTCCCTGCTGACAACTGTCTGCTTGTTGTTCCCCAACTTAAGCAGATCTACACTATGGAAGTATTAGGTCGCAATATGACTTAATGGATTCTTAACCCATAATGTGTTGGACAACCTTTAATAGGCTCTGCTCATCTAAGATGGGGTTTCTGGTGAAGTTCTTCCACACCAGACTCACTCATCCATGATTTTACAAACCTTAGTTTGTGTACTGGTGTTTATCATCATATTATCCAAAATACGTTGGTATTCATTTCAATGGAACCAATGGGAAGAGATGTAGCTCCCGAAAAAACAGACCCTCAATCCCTTTACTAGATGTTACTCTGGACACAATGCGGTTAGGCAAGTGTCCTTCTGGCCGTTGCCAAAAAAAGACTCATCCTGTGGATTGCCAGACAGAGAAGCAACATTCACCACTCTACAGAACAGCAGAGAACATGTTTCCGATGGCAGCATGGAAACATGTTCCACTAAAACATCACACCACCAGACGCACTGCATTGCACTTGGGGACGTAAGGGTTGAATGGAGATCCTCGATCGCTTTGGCTGCGTTCGTGTCATTCCCAATCATTTCCACTTTGTTATAATACCACTAACATTTGAATATGGGTTATTTAGTAGTGAGAAGAAAAAAATCACAAGGTACAATCCTGGACTTTCTTGACCTCCTGAGAGTAGACCATTCCTTTGGAAAGTAGTCTGCATTCCTAGTTTCTGGATTTTTTGTACATCGGTGGCCACAGAGGTGATTGGAATATCTGAATTCAATGCTTTAAAGAGGTGATTGAGCCAATACTTTAGGCTATAGATTATAGTATACTTCCTTTTTCTCTGATTTACTAAACCTTTTCCTCTGGCCTTTGAAAGGTTCTCCCTCCAGAGCCCCTTAATACAAGGGGGAAACACACAAATATGCACCCCAACCACCTTTTTGTACCCATCTCTTAATTGCCTTGATTACTTACATTTAATTGCAGTATTTAAACAAAAACTGTCTAAAAAATTCCTGCTCCTCACTAATTAGAAAGAGTCTGGACAGTACAAAGTCCTCCCCCTCCTACAAACAACAAGACAGGTTTAAGATGTTGATGTAAACAATTAGGAGCAGGCCCACATACATTCACATGAGATGACTATAAGCAAAGGGACATCTGTGTTTGTTTGCGCCCTGTGGCTCTTTGTCTAATGAGATCTGGTTTCCAAGCAGTAACATCACCCTGAAGGACGGTCAGACTCAGAGGGAGACAGCTGGGGAGCTCAACATCTGGGCCGGGGGTGGTCAGCACCAGCGGTGTTGTATATACATCGGTTTCTGTTTGTCTGTGTCGATGTGCATGCAGGTAACCAGGAGCAGCGCCAAAGAAAAACAGCGTAGGATTGCTCAAAGTGTTTCCCTCATTCATAAAATCTGAGTGTTTGTAGTGTGGTTTGTAGTAGGCAGAGTGGCCCACGTTTCCTCATGCGTCGGTCCGTATAGATTAAATGTTTAGAAAGGCAGATCAACAAATGGTTGTGGTGGGTGTAAGGAGCGGAAAGAGGGGTGAGAAGCCTACAATACACAGCGAAACAGGAGATGAGAGAGGAAGGGGGGAGGAGAAGTGAGAAGATTAAACATTAGAGGTGAGTGTTTGAAGCAGAGGAGGCGGCCTTGTCACTTGGGGTACAGCAGATAGCAGCACGACCTGGTATGGGATTGTTACAATTTCATAAAATACAAGATTTACATTGTAATAATGAATCTCTGTTTAGAGAGATTATTTCCATATTAACTCCAAAACAAATCCCTTTAAACCAGTATAATCACAAAGGGATGATTACGTTGTTTGCAGACGACACTGTGATCTGTAGGGAAAGTAGGGAGCAAATGGAAGATAATGATGGTGAAGCTGCATGAAGTAGAGATACTGAAGGTGGCTACAGACTTTATCTACGTCTGTTGCTTCCTACTGAGGAATAATATGTGAAGTACGACTTTATAAATAAAATCACATCTTACACTAACGTCTGTTTGAGTCCTATTCAGTTTGTGTTTCTTTATTGTGTCTCTGAAGGTCAATACGTTCCAAACTGTGATTGGATACGATGAAACCGACTCGTACGTTCTCTTCCTTTATCCCGAAGATGGACTCAACTTTTATGGGACGCGACCCAAGGTAAACCTCCTGAGTCATCTGCAGTGTTATAGACATGCGGTATGTATGTATTGTTTCAGCTAAAACTGGTTTGAAATCACTTGTTTTCCATTTGTTTTCCCAGGAGTCCTACAATGTGGAGATAGAGTTTCCTGCTAGAGTTGGCTTCAGTAGAGGAGAAGTTTCTTTTTTCATCATCTCCAAAACCGATGGACCTTTTTATAGCGTTGCCCAAGATGAAAACAGTGTTAAAAGGCTTTCTCAGTAAGTAAAATTAGATTACAAGCCCTTAAAACCATCAACCTTTGGCAGCCATGGACCATATGATTTAAAAACAGTTAAGTGATTGCACAGGTAAAGCCTGGTGGCCCGGCAGGCTTATAATACACTGGGGAAACCTGCAAGATTATAAACAATCATGTAAATGACCGGGATCGTTCTGAACATCAGAAAAAAGTTACATTTTAGAAACTTTACACTGTTAGCCTCTTAAATATTTAAAACAAACTCATATACAACTGAGATGGAGAGAAAAATGGTGGCTACAAGCTAACAAATAAGTTTGCTAACACTTCTAATCTTGTTCACCTTGTAAATTAAACAGCAAATAAAACAGAAAACCTTTTAAAATATTCGGTGTATTTGCTTAGATAAATAACTCAGTTCACTGATGAGGCTAGCTATCAACCAAGAAACCTAACACTGTTGCTAGGCTAGGCATTTTAAAGTGTGTTCTGTATTGTCTGATGTTTTTACTTTTTAATTTGTACTTTTGCTCCACATGCTGATTTAGTTTCCTCTTTTCAACCCTGGTATCATTGGACTATTGTCATCTATTCTCTTAATGCCAAATTAAAACAAACAATGTGAAAATTAAGTAGATTTATCAGAAAGAAAATATTGTTACTGGTTGGTTGGCTTGATGGGAAAAACTTGACAACTGTACCTGATGAATCCTGATCTGATTCTCCAGGGTTGGGAATACTGGTGTTCCAGGTGTTTGGCTTTTCCACACTGGAAAACGGTTTTCTTTTCAAGAGATCATTCCTGCATCCATTGGTGGTCTCCTTGCTGTCCTCCCTACTGCTGGTTACGGCCTCTACCTGGTAATAATAGTTTGTTGTGCCGTCCAATGTTCAGGTCTCTCATCTCATTGTTCTGAAGTCTTCACTTGCTCTCTTTCCAAGGACTCAACCACTCCTGAATATGAGTTTGATGATTACAACTTTGAGCCAGAGAGCCAAGAGGAAGTGGATGCTGCTGGAAGTCCCGACTCTCCAAATCCTCGATCGGAAGACTCCGATCGCCAGTTATCGTACAGCAGAGAAGATGTGCCATTGACCTTGGAGCCGGTAGAAAGGCAGTACGCTCCACCTGGGTTTCCACTGACGGTTCCTGAAGGGGGCACTCAGCGGGTCGAGGAACAGCAACCACAGGTAACAAGTTTATCCTTAAGTCGTTGCTTCAAATAACTCTCCTTCATTCAATCGTCTTCCTCTTACTTTCCTTCTTGTCATCAGTAGAGACGCACCGATCCGATACTTGTATCTGTATCGGTCCAGATTTTGGAACAAATTCTAGATCGGATATCGGTGACAATGTGTCTGATCTTTTGGGTAGATCTATTCAGTCTAATTCTATGCTTCATTCTCTGAGCGACATCATCCTTTATTATTTATTCCTAACTTAATTTTCTGGAAGATTTGTTTAGTTTGACCAAGATAGTCAACGTATTGTTTTTGCCAGCCTTTATTATTGATTTTACATCCTCTGTTATTCTCCTAATTGCACTGACTGAACAAATTAAAATTGTTTTTATATGTTTGATCAAGCTTGTGACAGTATTAGTGTATTTAAGTGCAGATTTATTAACAATAAGTTTGTTATTCATTACATTTATGTCTGTGTTTAAAAAATAAACATTTTAAGTTGTTTTACTGTATCAGATCGATATCAGACGATGCTAAGCCTCAGATATCGGTATTGGAAGGTGAAAAAGTGGATCATTCCTTCATTCCCTTGATTCATGCAAATAGGATGAACAAACTCTTGACATAAACCTTCTAAGGAGCTGAGAAGCCTAATTTCTTTCTAGTCTTTTCCTGTCTCTTCTCTCACTTCAGGGAACTTAGAAACAGAAATCCAAATAGTTTTTAGGGCAGTTTAAAGCTGTAGTGGCTTTCCTCCACATTCTGCGGCTGTGGGGAATGTTGTTGTCAACAAAACTGATTCTGCCTCCTGTACAGTCAATGCAACGTTTTCCCTCCTCATAGATTTCTGGAGATTTTGTGAGTTGATCAACTTTTATTCTCTCATTCTGCAGCTTCCTTTGGAGGTGTTGGACGTCTACCCCCCTCTGAGAAGCAACCCGCCCCTCTCCCCTGGAGGTCATGTCGTCAGCGTGGATGAAGATGATGTTGACTTTGACACAGGAGGTGAGAGGCATACTGTTTTTGGATCTGTTTTTCTCTACTGGCTAACATCATGCTAAGAATAGCATGGGAAAAATAAGTAGGGAGTTATAGGTGTGGGCTTTCTCTTTCTAAAATAAAAATATTTTTAGTTTGGTAAATTAGATCCAAAATCCTCATAGAAATTGAATGACTAGTGATTAGATTATAAAAAGATAATCCACCAAAGATTTGGCCTTATCAAGCATGACAAGTCGTTCATTACGTTGTATGCTTAAAACTGCAACTTATAAGATTTTGTAGCTAACTTCTGATTTTCTTTGTGTTGCTAATTTCAAATGTAACTAATTGCTGTTTTTTCTTTATGAATTATAATACAGTAGCAGTAAGAATTGCCCAGTCTTCATGCTGTAAGCTCTCATTAATTATTTATATTAGGAGCAAGATTTTACAGCGATTAAATTAGCTAGAAAATCTAGCTAAAATTATTTTAGCTGAGATGCTGCTATTCTCTTTTTAAAGGTGCAGTATGTCACTTTTGCATAAAAAATCTTTTTTTTTTTTTTTTTACATATTTGTTAAAACTGTCACCATGTCACAACGGTTTAATATGAGACAAATAGTCTGTGAAAATCTCCTCCATCTCTTCCGTAAGCTACTATTGCCGTCTAAAGAAATGCTGCGCTCCCAACGAAAAACAACCAATCACAGCAATATTTTTACAACAAATATGTAAAAATATTGATTTTTATTTTATGGAAAATAGTTAAATTCATCTATTCTTCCCACAGTAACAACTTCCTCACTGAAGAGTGTTCGTGTTAGCAAGACTTGGTAGCAAAAACTCATATCATTCCAGTTGATTTCTCTGTAGATTTTTAATAGTTGTGTAAAAATCATTGGTTTCTAAACAGTTTTATTTTACATTGACAAAAAAAATTAAATTTCTATAGAAATTGGATACCAATTTACACTTTTATAACTAAAATCTTTTTTTTTTTCTTTTTGTTAGCCAGAGACTAGAAAAATATAATCTGCATTTTCAGCTTCTTTTGGGAAAGAAAAGAAACTAAATTTGGATTCAATAAGCCATCAGTTAGCCGAATTCCTTATATATCTCATGAAATTTATCTCTGTAGCGCCATGTGTTGCAGATTCCTGGTATTTCATCAGAACAAACCCAGAGAAGCTTTCAACAATGAGGCTCCATGAGGAGTGTGTGTTGCCTGGGAAGCAATCCCACAGTGAACCAGATGACTTTTGTTGTGAAATGATGCTAAACAAATAGCTGAATTAACCGAGTTTCAGATCTTTCCCCCATTGAAAATGGGAGTCGCATTACTGCAGTAATAGACTGCAGCCCTGCAGCAGCTCTGATCCTGTTGCTGCTCAATAAGTGCAGCTAAGAGGGAAAGTGATTTAACACAACCAGAAACACATGTCTCTTAAAAATGTTTTCTTTATATATCCTTTTTTGTTGTTACTGTTTGTTAGATTCGTCTATGTTTATTTATTTACACTTACTCTACTTATACTTTAAATATATATTCAAATCAAATTTAAAAATAAGAGTTGAATACATATGCACACCACACTTTTCAGATTTTTTTATTATTATTATAAAACCGGTTTAAAACCATTTATATTTTCCTCTCCAGTCATACTTAAACACTACTTTGTGTTGGTTTAACTCTTAAAATTCCCTCTAAATCTGTTAAAAGTTTATTTTTGTGTTCAGCAGTGACAGTATGTATCAAATATGAGCCAATATGGAGGAACAGTGAGAAGCAGGAGGGTAACTCTACCCCTGCTTTCTGCGGCGGAGCTGCTCTGCAGCTAGCAGTACAATACAGCCGTTGTGCAGCGCGACTCCTGGTGTGTGTGTGTGTGTGTGTGTGTGTGTGCGCGTGTGTGTTTGTGTGTGTGTGTTCAGCACTCCCTCCCTTGCTACTGCTCTCCAAGGATTTAGTCATAAACAGAAAATGTTTTCAGTCAACCTGGTTACATAAGGTTTAACGAGTCTGTGTGGGTCGAAACTCATGAAGTCACTTAGCTTCAACGAGAGAATAATTCAGGATCTTCTCAGAAAAGATTTTACCTTAAATTACAAGAAAACTGAGTTTTTTGTTTCTTTCTGTTGTTCTTATTGTAGATATTTTAGATATATTTTATCTGAGGAAATAAGAAAACCAACCAGAAGTCATAAGATGAGACAAAACAGAGAAAAAAAAAAACACTAAACTAAAGGTTTTTCTGCATATATTGTAACTTTACAAGATAAAGTTCCAGAGAATTAAATATTACTTTTAAAAGTTTTTGCAAATAAAATTCTAAAAAGTAAGAACTGTATATTTGTCATCCCTCCTGTGTCAATCTTTGCACATTTAGAGATTTTCTCAATTTTTCTTTACAAAACTGCTTCTGATTAGTGAATGGAGAGATTGAGAATCACTTTTTAGTCATAAACTCCCAGCTGGATTTAATCTGGACTTTTACTAGGCCGTTCTAACACGTAGATTTGTTTTTCTGACTGTTTTGTCTTAAAATCAACTCACATGTTTGCCAGGAAGAAAATAAAAACAGGGACACACCCGCTCCGCCAATAAACACCCCTAAAAAAATAACATTAAGAATTTAAAAATGATCATTTTTCTAAGCTTTTAAAGGTTTAAAGTTTGATTTCTCCTGCACCACAGCAGGTGTGCGTGCGCTGTTACAAAGAAAGAAAAGAAAGGAAAACAGTCACTTGGAAGTACTAAGTAAAGTTTGTCACTTTTAGTTTTACCCGACTTTTGGAAACTTCCAACATGGCTTCCAAGAAACCTGTTTACTCCATTTTTTAATGCAGGTTGCTACATTTTCCTTGTTTCCAGATAACTTACAAACATTTTGGTTCACTTCTTGTATTGAAAAATTGAAACCTCAGATTGTTTAGCCTTTCCAAGCTCTTGTGATTGATTTGGGGATAAAACTGAGCTGTGAAGGTTAGATTGTTTGTCTCGTTGGTGATCTGAACCGTTTAATTGTGTCGCTAAGCGAAGCAGAAAACGGTTTTTGCAACACGTGTCCTCACGAGCAGAAAGCTGTGGGAGGTGGGACTGCAGCAGCTGGTTTCTGTCCAAGAAGCGCTTCGACATATGTTTGTGTATGTCTACATATTTCCCCAGATCCCATCCACACATCCTGCCTGGATTTCCATGCATGAATACCAGCTATGTCCAATTTGTTTTCCTCCAATTCTGTCTTTTAAGCCAGAGCAATTATAAATGTCGTAATCAAGATAACAAATATGACGCTAAAGCTAACATAGACACGACTGCACTGTCGCATTTAGCAATACAGCAGAAAATACAGAAACATGAAAATTAACCATAATGTCACATCAGAGGTAATGAAAAGATGAATGGAGTTAAATATAGGACAAACCTAGAAAATATGAAGCATATTCATGTGTTGCAAGGTTTCGGTGCATCCTTAAAAAGCCTGAAAAACTTGTTTCTGAAATTAAGGCCTTAAAACTAGAAAATATGTAAGCTGGACTTAATCAGAGTTCTTAAATTTTGTAACGGGATCTCTATTTAGACTGCTACATTCTGCTGGGACTTTTCATTTTGAGTCGTGTGAGTTCAGTGACTCGAGGCAGTTGAGGCTACTGCTAATAGCTGCTAACATACCCTTGCTAGCTGGCTTTTTTTGCCACTGGCTCATTTCTGTTGCCAACCTGTACAATGCCACAATCATTCAGAAAAAAAAATATTCACACTGCTACTGTATAAAGTATAAAACTTTCTTTTGTACATTTCTGTCACGATTCGGGTCTCGAATTTAACGTATAATGGCCTGAAAAAGTCTTAAATTTGAGTTTGTGTTTGCAGATTTTCTCCATTCGATCTGTCTGAGCTCCAAATGTTTTCCTTCCACTTTACAACAAAACACAAAATCAAAATGAAATTCACTGAAGTTTGGGGTTTTAACAAGCAGAGTATGGTACTATAACTCTCTTTTTCTTACTCAGTGATCCAGTACACTACAGAGAACAAGGAAACATGCGCCAGGTTAGTGAAAACTATCTTTGGCTTGCTTTCAGTAGCTTTATGACTAAATATATTGATCTATCTTGTGGTTTAGGTTCCAGCAGCAATGTTCCCAGAATGCATTCTGCTCAGATTACCCCACAGGATTTTGCTGCCACTGCCAACCGGGCTTCTACGGAAATGGCCGCCATTGTCTGCCAGACGGTAAGACGGTACATTTTAAACACAGTTCAGTTCCCAACACTGGTCCATTTAAAGGCCACTAGTACCATTAAAACCCTTAAAAGAAGCACAAAAATGGTCCACAAGGAGACTTTTTTGTATGTTTGACGTCGTCCTGCTCTCCAGGCGCTCCTCAGCGTGTCAGCGGTAAAGTGAGTGGCACGGTGACGGTGGGTTCGACTCCGGTTGAGCTGAACAACATCGACCTTCACGCCTACATCGTGGTTGCAGATGGAAGAGCTTACACAGCCATTAGTGAGGTAGACGACTCGAAACGTAACCTTTAACCTCCAGAGACACAGTCACAACAAAATATTAAACCGAAAAAAATAAAACTACATTTTACAAATAAATAATATTAATTTAGTGAATTAGAAAGTCTCCACAGACAACTAATTGCTATAAATAATTCACCTTTAGTAGCTTGTTGTTAGTCTAATCTATAGTTATAGTTGCTACGGTAAGCAGTCATTCATTTTATTGGAAGTAGAGGCGACATCATATAAAACAAAATAATTATAAAGTTGTAGCTTTTAACTTGTCATGTTATTGATTAGCACAATTAGCAGCTTACGTTTCTGTCATGTAGGTACCAGAACCAGTGGGCTGGGCCATGATGTCGGTGTCACCAGTCGGAGAGCTTTTCGGTTGGTTGTTTGCTCTGGAGCTGCCCAATGGCCAAGCGGGATTTAAAATCACAGGTGATCTTGTTTTTGTCCATTTCCTTGGACGACTCCAGCCACACATGCAGATTGTTCTGTGGCGAGGACATTTTGTGCCTCGCTGACTCGTCGCCCAGCCAGATGCATTTTCTCCAGAGATGCGATGCGATATGAAGAGTCTACCTCCTCCGTTTAATAGGAAACAGCTGCATGCGTGTTTGTTTTGGAGAGCACATTTTTTCCCCCCTTGTAGACAAGAGCAGCACCAGTAAAGCAGTGTAAAAAAGCAAACCTGACAGTGATTGATTTGTTGATGTTTTGTTACCAGGTGCAGAGTTCAGTCGTCATGCTGAGGTGGTGTTTAGCCCCGGCAACCAGCGCCTGTCCATCACGCAAACTGGCCGCGGCCTTGACGAACACAACCACCTCACTGTGGATACTGTCATTAGTGGCAATGTTCCCTTCGTTCCACCTGGAGCTGAAGTTACTGTGAAGCCCTTCAAGGAGACCTACCAGTACTACCCGTTTGGTAAACATTATATTACATCAGACGGTCAATTTAAACCATTTTAAAGCTACAGTATGTCACATATTTGTCAAAATTATCATTATGTTCTGCCTCTTCCCAGTACTAACCACTCAGTTAGAAACAACCAATCAGAGCCAGGAGGCGGGTTTCAGCGCTATCAATCACTCTCAACACAACACAACATAGCCTGCTAACAATGCTAAGAGTAGTTAGCATAGCCACTGGTGAGGGTTTTCCAACTTTTTCTGCTATTAGCACATTTAGCATTGTACACGAGGTTGATTGACAGCGTTAAGACCCGCCTCCTGGCTCTGATTGGTTGTTCTTTGTTCAGTAGCTCAAGGAGGAAGATTATCCGAATAGCAGATTATTGTTTTTGTTTTCTCGTCCTGCAGTCACCACCTCCAGCTCTGTCAGGGAGTTTTCCGTCGGTTTGCCTGAAAAGGTTTCAGAGTCGTACACGTTCCACCTGAAGCAGAACATCACATACCGCGACTGTCGCCACGGAAACCGGGCTGCCACCCCGGAGACGCTGCAGATCAACATGGAGAGGGTGTTTGTGATGTACGTCAAGGAGGAGCGGATTCTGAGATACGCCATCACCAACAAGATCAGCCCGGTCGGAGGTTAGCATCCTAAACCTCCCGCCTCATAGTCCAGTTGATAATCTGTTAATTTTCGAGATGCAAGCAGGACTCGAATGCAGAGAGGTCAACAGAAGCTAAGCTAGATGTTTTAACGAGTAAAAATCCTTTAAAAAATGCTTATGTAGTAGATTTTGACATGAGTTGAGCTCTGAATTGGATTATTTTTAAGATGTACTGTTTGATAATAGCAGTAGTGAACACACTTCTGCTAATGTGCTAATTTTTTTTTTTTGCGCTAACCGTTTTGCTAGCTTTGAAAACGGTTAGCGCACTCAGCATCACCTAAATTCGTTTTTCCACATAAAATCTACAGCAATAATTTACTTGGCAATTCTCTAAACTTTATCAGTAGTTACTGAATATCGATGGAACAAATATTAATAATCCTAGTAATCTGAAATAATATATGTGGGTAAAATGTGAATGTTAAATGAGAAACATATTGCTAAGTTATTATAGTAACTGAAATAACAAAGTGAATACACAGACTGATGTTTTCAAGCCTTTATTTCTGTAAATTAGGATGATTTTCCACTGACAGCTAATAAAAATACATTTAGGATAATTAAACATTCCAATAAAAAAATAATAATACAGAAATTAAAGTTTAATGACAAATATTTTCAAATTTTACCATTAGAGCCTCATCAGAACTTAATGAGTGGAACAGATTGTCTGAGTTTTTAATTCTTTCAAGGTTTCCAAGTTGGCTTTTAGCACTAAACCATGAAAAACATAAACAGCAGAGAGAAAAGGCTGACACACATGGAAGCAGTTAGCACACTGATTATAGTTTCAGTTCTGGATCTTAACTGGACTGTGACCCAGATTACCCTGTGCCATAAAAGATTCACCTAGTAATGACAGTTTAGACGCATAAATAAAACTCAATACTTTAACCCGGGTTCAGAGTTAAGGTACAACTGTTAGTGTTTATGTTAAATGGTTCATGTTCCGAGTAGAATCACTTTCAGTGTTGCTTTAATTGCAGTTTGTGTCACAGTTGACATTTATTTTGCATCATCCATATAATTGCAGTCATGCTTTGGGTGTTTGCTAACACTTTGAGCTAAAGTGACTGGAACGGAGATGTGTGCCAACAGGAGCCGTGTGTGAATCCATATAACTTGTGTATTTTGATTGGAAGTGTTTGGTTTTGTGGTTTCAAGGCTAAAATATCATGATTGAAGTGTTTGTTTTTAGGTCATTTTGCTCTTTTTACCACAGATCAACAGACTTAATCCAACAGATTATCTAATTCTATTAATATTTGTTTCAGTATTTTATTAGATTAATGACTGAAAAGTTTAAAACTCCTTCAGGATAGTTGTTTTAAACCCAAAAGTATCTACACCCCTTGATTTGTGTCATATTTTTTCAGATTCCTCCAGGGTTTACCTATTATAAGCCTGGCGGGCCGCCAGGCTTTACTTGTGCCCCACCAGGCTTAGCATTGCTTATTTTTTAGGTTCTCTTTTTAATGTTTGCTTTTTACAACACTTTATAGTTGGTGTTCAGGAATTAATCTTCCAATCTTTTAATAACATAATTATCAAGTGATATTTTCAAATTTCATGTCAACTTTCAATATTTTCTAACTCAAAAACATGGCGGATCGCTGGATGAACGACTGCCCTAGCGCCCAACCACCGGGGAAAGACTAATACGCCATTTTCTTTTGGTTTTGCCAGAGTCTCAGCTATATTTAGGTCAGGACTTTCAGGGGTTAACCCAATCAGTTTATAAAAAACATAATTGAAGATGGAGGCTGCTCAAAAGATGAAGTGGAAAAGACAGAGTTTGCGGCAGAAAGCCAGAGAAAGCCTGCTTTTTCTGCCCAGTGTTTGGACGCAGACCAAGTTTCTTTCACCGGAACGTCGGCGCCCTGATTAAAAAGTCAAAGATGACACACGCTCATGCTAATACACTGAACACAGCTGGAAGAGCTTGCTGGGATCTGAGGCTCCATAAACACGGGCTAAGTGATGTGTGTGTGGACAGAAAGCTTTTTTTGTGTGTGTTAATTCCACTTTCTGGGAAATAATATCTCAGCCAATGACAGATTTTGTTGAAGAGGGGGGTTGCTGGGCAGAATAGCTGCCCTGTGAGGTCATGAGAATCAGGGATTGCAGACATGCTTAAGGCACTGAAGTGATAAGACAACCACACAACTACTTAACTGTATATATTCGCCTTTAGGAGGCTTTAAAAACATCACATTCTACATTTCCTGTAATGGAGTCACTGGTGGATTATTGTCCTGATGTAAAACCAAAATGGTCGTCTTCAGCCTACGGCTATAAAAGTATGGATGGAGATTTTTTTAATGAATTTCTAGTTGCAAGCACAATTCCTGGTTAAAGTTGTGTTGGTCCTGATAAAAATACATCTTTTTCTTCCACATTACAGTGATGCACTGATTGGTGTTGGTGTATCACATCAAATCTAATCAAAATACAAAGAAGGTTGGGTTATAAAGTAGCAAAACAACTGTACAGGTTGTCCACATCCTTAAAAGGTCTTAAATTTGTGCATCTAAAATTAAGACTCATTTTTTAATTTATGAATTTTTTCTTCTTTTAGAGTAAGTTGGCTTTAAATTCATTAATAAAAGTCTAGAGTTAGTTAATCTTGTAATTTTTTTCTCGCAGTACTTTTCTGTCAGGTAAAAGTTTGAGTTGTGCTACCGGTAGCTAGCTGCTAACATAACCTAGCTAGCTAGCTAGCTAGCTTTTCTGCCTTTATCATGTTTCCAGTTGCCTAAACGACATTTGTATTCACCATTGGATCACTTTTGCTAACTCATATGAGGCTAGACGCATTCTGGGTTGTCTGTAGAGCAAGGGTGTCCAAAGTGTGCTACAGGGGCCATTTATGGCCCTTGGAATGAGTTTGTGTGGCCCCTGACTGCAGATAAAAAATGGTTCAAATTTGGTCCTCTGGCATATGGAGCTGATGCAGGTGAGATGAACACTTTTTACATTTATTTTTGAGATTTCCATCCTGTGGTTTTTTTTTTCTCAGAAACCCATTGGGCTACACATAACAAAGGTTTTAAAAGAACATTCTGGTTATTCCCACTGAAAATGAACCAAAAACAATTTGTAGACCAAAAAAATACAAAACAATTGTCTCAAAAAGTTTAAAAAATTGTAATCATTGAGGCAAATTTCAGACTAATGTTGGTTTGCGTAAAAAAATGGAACTTGTTCAGTTTATTGTTATGCAGGTGACGGTGAAAGAATTCACAATAGGATGATTTTTGCATTATTTAATAGAAAGAAAAGGCTAATTTTGACACCTGAGGATTTTAGCTTCATCACCTTCCTCAAATAATAAAAAAAAGTGAATTTGGAAACAAAAAAATCACCCCATTTTTATTTCCAAAAGATGATTTAGGCAAAATTAGTCAGTTTTTTTAGGGAGGTGACAACATGTGATGTACTGTAAATGTCTGTCTTGAATTTCATTAAAAGGCCTTAAAAAGTCTTGAATTTGAGTTGGGACCTGCAGGAGAAACCCTGCTCTGTGTGCTAACAGTTAGCCATAACGTTTTAAAAACCGGCTCTCTCTTGTTCAGTCCGTGCTTTTGTGTTTGCTTGAGAGGAAGAGGAACCACGTAAAAAGCAACAGGTGGGAAGCTGCAGCCATCACTTTGATGGTGTGCAGTGCATGTGTGGGATGTGTGTGTTCCTCACCCCTCTGTCCTGCTCGCCTTCCTTCTCTCCCTGTCTCTAATTATCCGTCAGGCATTTTTCTCCCATCCATGTGGAGCGCTGCCTCTCATCTGCCCTCCTTCCTGGCCACATTGCACTTTGAAGAGTCTTTCTCTCCCTCTCTGATAATGAGCCAAAATTGTTCTCTGGCCCGGGGAGATGAAGGCAAGCTGTGCGTTTAGTTTATGCTGTTTATGGTAGAAAAAACCTCTGATGGTTGCTAAATCTCTTACACGTCATTAAGAACAGACATTACTATTTCTTCCTGGTTTTATGTTAAATGACCTCTCTGTGTAATATGCAACATCCTTTAAAATGTCATGTTTTCATGGGACACCACACTCATGTTGGACCAGTTTTGAGGCTCAGAAGAGCAGCATGACTTCTCGTCCTGCAGAATCTGAACCGCGTCTCTAATTCTTAGCACATTTAGACATCTTCTGACATTCTTTTCTAATAATTTCCCAGAGTTTTTTGTTCTGCCAGATTCTCTGGAAATCCGTCTGAGGTTTTTTTTATTTTATTTTTATTTGCTTTCGAAATTATTCATCTGAACCAGACGGCGGTATGAGGAAACACCACAAAGCCCTTCTCCTGTTTGTATGTCGTCTCCTCTCTAATGTCTGGGACATGTGCGCCTAACCTCATCCACATGTTTTATTTGTATTGGGAACTTGAGGGGAGTCCCCTCTTTGGAGGAAACCATCGCAAGGGAATTTAGCTGGAACTTTTTACATGTTTCCATGGATATGATTTTCTGTAATCATCAAAATATTAACAGTAAATGTCCCAGATTGCAGTTGATCTAATGACTCGAGGTGTTATTTCTAAACGCCAGAATATGTACTTTCAACTAAACATACTATATGAAGTTGTAATATTTGAGTTAGAGGAACAAAGCAGCACCTACGTTGTATTACAAAATGAAATAATTTCAAAATAAAAGCAGGATATTACAAAGAGCTAACTTCACAAGTCGGGTTTATCTTTAGGAAAGCACCTGAAGGTGCCACCATCACGCTAACTATAAGGCTAGTTGTGTACTGATCATAAACCTTAGTTCTGCTCATGCTAAATTGCTATAACATCCCAGTAATTAGCTGAAGCTAATGCTAAATTGCTAATTATATCTGTCTTTATAAGATTACAATATTGAGCATTTATGACGTGTAACATCAATGAAAGAGAACATGAGAGGAAACTGAACTGCTACGTAAACAGCCTTCAAAATAAGAGCATGAATATACACATCTAACTACCTGAAACACTCTTAACTGTTGATAACCAAAACTTCAACAGAGATATTGAACGTTATTCAATCAAAAGTTTAAAAAACAACAAAAAACAGTTTAAAAAACACTAAATTAGTTAAAACAGCTAATTTACTTGACTGTTTCCTAAGCAAGCCTTAAAATGTGTCCAGAAAAATTAATTTAGTAGTAACTAAATGTGCTCAAAAGTTAGCAAAAACACCAACACGCCAACTAAAACAATTAGCTTCACTATTGGCGCATTAGCAGATTAGCGGACGTGTACCCCCCCTACCATCATAATGTTCAGGGTGTCTCTGACGTGATCATGTTTTTGTGTAAAATGTGTGAATCAAACCCAGGACAAAACTAAATAACCTTGTGTTCTCCAAAAGCAACATGAAAAGTCCGATTAGTACAGGAGTCTAATCCAGTCTCTTTATCTAATCTCATCCAAGCTGCATTAAACTGAAATCAGTGTTTTGCTGTGACCTTTGCTGACTTGGTTCTCTTGTATTTGGCATGTTGCAACAGATTCATCGGAGGTTGAACTGCTGAACCCCTGCTATGCCGGGAACCATGACTGCGACACCACAGCACAGTGTATCCCACTGGAGGGCCAAGCTTTCCGGTGCCAGTGTGCTACTGGCTATAGAGGAGATGGACAGAACTGTTACGGTAACTTCAGTCTTTCCACTCAAACATGGAGACTCATACTGATTGTGTTTGATTTTTGTTCTTATGGAGATGAAGGACGGATATTTTCTTGATATACAATTCGAAAATACTTTGTCAGTTATTGTAGATTTCCATGACTGAGCTTGTTCTGTGTAAATAACTCCCTGTCTCGCTCCCTAAAGACTCTTTTATTCTCGTTTTGCAGTTCCTTTAGTCACTGGTGATGCAGGGTTTGTTATTAGGGGAAGGTCTCGGTGTTCTGGTGGAGATGGTTTCATCCATAAACAAGTTTATATAGTCAGTCACACACTTAGTCATGAAATTGATGTTATCTCTATGCGGCTGGCAAAGAGCAATCCGATCTGTGGCCTCAGAATAACCTTCAGCTTCCTGTAGCCACTTTCTCACAGCCATTTTATTTACAGATACAAAAGGAAAAACAAGTGATTTTTCCCAGAATACGTCTTGGTTTGGTGTTATTTGTGCAAAACAAATCCAATCTCTTGTTTTCTCTGTTGAAGCGGAGTACTAATTACGCGTCTGTGGGATCTAAATGTACCTGGCTGAAAGTTCAAGGCAAAACTCCTGTGCTTCTTCAGCAGCTGTCAGTCTAGTGTTGAGGGCTCAGGTACAGTGTGGATGACTGGAACCAGCAGTTTTCTCCTCCTCTCTCTTTCCCCTGTAAAAAGCGACATGTAAGGCTTTGAGCTGGTGAGCGGTTTGTCATCAGGTCAGCAGGTGGTGTCTGTTTCCTGCTGACAGCACCGAGAAGGCCCCGCGGTTCCCATGGCCAGACCTCAGTGTCTCACAGATCAGCTGGTGCAGAATAATGCATTTACTGCCAAGAATTCAGGTATCAGCCGGTGCAGCAAGGAGGGAGTTACAGGTTATAGGAACAGTAAACAGTAATTACTCCTTTATTGTGCCACATGTGGCTTGGTGTTGGTTTTAGACGGGGCAGTCCTGGTTTACAGAGTGTCTGACGTTCCCTCCCTGCCTTTGATGCAGACATCGATGAGTGTGCAGAGGGTTTGAACTCGTGTGGCGATTACTCCCAGTGCCTGAACCTTCCCGGGACGCACCGCTGCCAGTGCCAGAGCGGCTTTGAACTGAGCTACGAAAGCCGGACGTGTGTTGGTAAGACAGACGGAAATACTATATACTTGGCCTATTTTCCACAAGTATTTATTTATCTTGAACNTTATCACATATTTTCTCATTTTCTCATTAACAGGCAGAACAAAAATGAAATATACATCACCTGTTTTAACTCAGGAAGAGTTCAGAAACCAATATTTGGTGGAATAACCAGGAGGTTTTCAATCTGGTTCAGTGGTTTCTTAATTTTTTTCAGAGCTGTATTTATATTTTTCACTCTGAAACATTGTGGTGGCACTATCATGCTGTGGGATTTTTATTTCTTTATTTATTTTTGTATTTATTTGGCAGGGAAACAGGTGAAAATAGATCCCAACTGGATCTATGTGACACATAATTATGAAGTGAAACTAAAATGTCTTTAAAATATAAATCTGAAAAGTGTGGCATGCATTTACTTTCCTGCTGCAAGTCTTTTATGTTATATCTGTGGTGGCTAATCTTAGAAACACTAGTTTCTAAGACTTTGACTGGACCATTCTGACTTATCCAAAGAATCAGATTGTAATTTATTGTCCTGCTAAAAGGCAAATCTACCCCTTATTCAAATCTCCCGTAGCATCCAGTAGATTTTCTTCCATAATTTTAGCATTAAAGCCAAAATATTTTAAATGTAATGTGTCTTAACTATAGTAGCAACCAATATAGTTTCTCTATTTTGAGTTCTTTTTCTGCACTTTCTGGACTTTGGAAGTATTCCTGAAGTCCAGCTGCAAACGCTAGACTTACATTAAGAAGGAAGGAGGGATGACTAATGAGAGGACAGGTCTAGTGTGAGGAGGACAGGCTGAAGGGAAACAGCAAAGTGGAAGATAAACTGAGTAATGGGAGGTTTTTTTGGCTATGAAATGCACTGTGGACCAACATCCTTTATGTTTGTCACATTTAGATGAACTTCCAGTGAACCGTCTTCTTCACAACTCAAAACGTTCACGATTAAATTATCATTTATACATTTGCGGATTTACATGGCTACGTTTCTGTTGTTTACATTTATTACCAGTAATAAGTTAACGTTTTTTCCTCTTTTGCCTCATCATAATACCCTTTTATACTTTCATTATTACCTGTGCTTGTTTGGTTTATTTTACTTTATTGTCTGTTATGTGAACATGTTTCAGAGGGAGTAAACGTAAATATATATATATTTAAAAAACCCTCATATTTCTTTCTGAAAAGTTACTTGTAAGTTAGTTTTATCTTACTTCAAATGTATTAAGATTTACACTTTGAAGTTGACCAAAAATACTTGGTAAGATTTTGTGTTTTTGTGGTGTATATGTCACTGCATTAGACCTAAACCATTAGGAGTAAACTTATGAAACAGTGAACACAATTTCACTTTATTTGGGTGAGAAAATAGCAACACTAAATTAAGAACGTGCAGCAATAGCACTGATGGGACAGTTTTTAGTTTATAACATTTATTTTTAAATGACTTTATTTTGAAAAGCTGTTAACTGGGTTCACTCCGACTGCAGGTATGACACTGACTACACTTATGTACTGCACATAGCCACACTTCAGGGTTTGCCCCAGTGTTTTATAAGCCTGGCAGCCCACCAGACTTTACTTGCCACCAGGCTTAGCTTTGCTTATTTATTTAAGTCTTTTTAAAATGTTTGCATTTTTTGAGATTTTATTGTTGGTGTCCAGGTGTTAATCTTCCAATCTTTCAATAACATAATTATCAAGTGATATTTAAAAATTTCCTGTCAACTTTAAACATTTTTTAACACAAAAACATGCTGGATGAATGGCTTGTTTTCTGGAGGAAACCTTACCCTTGAAGAAATCAGGCTACCTCTTTAAGTGAATTAAACCAAATTAGGTGTGGTTAGCTATCCAGACGGAAGTTTTATCTGTCTTTGTTTTTCAGACATAGATGAGTGCAGCTCGTCTCCATGCCACATCAGTGCCCGATGTGTCAACGCCCAGGGCTCCTTCCAGTGTCAGTGCCTGCCTGGGTTTCACGGCGACGGTTTCCTCTGCTCCCCTCAGGCAGGTTGGTGCAACAGTTACCCTCTCAGCTCCTGATTACGTTTCTTTTGTTTGTTTTTGTTGATTTCTTCTCTGAAATGTCAACACAGTCCACCTGAGGAGCCAGTGTGAGGAGCACAGAGACAGTTTACAGAGTGGAGGACAGCCGAGTGTTGGAGCCTACATCCCTCAGTGTGATTCTGATGGGCAGTACCGACCGCGCCAGGTGGGCTTTTTACACATTTACCTTTGGATGATCGCTAATATTTATATCAGATGATGAGGTGGACTTAGAAAATGGCTGACTTTGTCTCTGGTGACTCGTTTCTGAATTCATCTAACCAAATGATCCCTGTTTAAAAGCCCAGTTACAACAAAATTTAGTTTCCTGGCATTTAAAAAGCTTAAAATATAACACATCAACCAGAGCTGGGGAGTAATTGCATTTACTCACATTTAGCTGGGTACTTTTTACTTTACTTGAGTGATCTTATAATGAAGTATTTCTACTCTTACTTGAGTAAAATATCAGAGTTTTCTACCCACTGAATGAAAACCAAACATGTTTTAACTAAAAAAATCACCAAACAAAGACACACACCTGCAGTTTTTGTTAAAGTTTTTAATGCCTGATTTTTTTTATTTTTTTTGTTACTTACATGAATTATTGTCTGTTTAGTCCAAAAAATACCAAATGTTCAACTTAACTTTATATCTTGGTCCAACTGATGATGTAATCTTTAAATATTAAATGATAATTTGATCTGTTACTCGGCACTTTTTAGCAAGTACGTTTTGACTCTTACCTGAATAATTTCTTGGACGGCTACTTTTTACTTTTACTTGAATACAATTTTTGGGTACTTTATCCACCTCTGACAATACATTTCTTTTGAATAGGACTTTGCTTCAAAATCCTGTTGATTGTGTTCTTTTTTTCTGCCACAGTTTTTCCTTACACTCAACTTTCTACTGCTTACATCACTCAGTGGACCGCTGTTGAGCTATGACCGTTTTTTTTTTACACTTTTGTTATAAGTAAATTATAAGTGAACTAGAACTTCTTTCCCAATTTTAAGTAATTATTTACTTAAATAACCTAAGATATCTTACTGAAAAGTTACTTGTAAGTTAATTTTGTCTTATATTTGGACTAGAAAGGAGACCAAAATTGTTGGTGAGATTTTATGTTTTTCACTATAATAAGCTCTGTAATGAGAGTTTTCTTATTGAATTAAGATTCTGACATAAACACACTTTTTGATGATGAAATCTGAGTAACCTCATTACTAAATGATTATTAAACGGTTCTGTGCAGTGTCATGGTTTTACAGGATATTGTTGGTGTGTGGACAGTAGAGGACAGGAAAAACCAGGAACCAGGACTCCACCCGGTACCGCACCTCCAGCCTGTGATTCTTTAGGTAAAACCTGACTGACCTGGAGGAGCTTTTGAAATAATAAAAAAAAAATCCTCTGGGTGTGTTAATCTTAGATTTTGTTTGTTTTTACATCAACAGATAAACCAGAGCGTCCAAAGACTCAGTGTGAGCGCCACAGAGACCGAGTCCAGACCAGCAGTGCAGATGGATTCCCTGTGGCTGGAGCCTACGTACCTCAGTGTGACGAAAATGGACAGTACCGGCAACTGCAGGTCAGCAGATAACGAGCGATAAGCAGGTTGATCTCTTAAGTTTAAATAATATAGTTTTACAGGTTGAAGAGTTCAAAACTAACTAGAGGATGCTTAAACATTTGTTTTTTCCAAATTTGGAGATTATCATAAGTCAAAAGAAAATTAGACAAAAAAACGTAACATTTCTAGAAAGTATCTTAAAGTGGCAGTCTTATATAAGCTCAGCTCCTTCAGACTAGCCAGCAGCAATTAGCAAACACCTGGTAGAACTGCACATCTCATTATAGGAGCTACTTCTCAGAGCAACGCTGGTAAAAACGCTGCTTAAATGATTAATGTAGGAGCCATGTTGTGATGACTTAATGAAGGCAGAGTTTTAAAGAGACAGAGGCACAATTTCAAGCTGCTAAACTGCAAAGTCCAATTTATTTTGAGTAATATAATAACTGAAGGTAACATAGTTACTTGATTGTGCTGTAAAATGGCACTATATACTTAGAAAACACATAGTATTGGCCTTTAAACTCAACCCTCGGAGAGAAAAGATGTGTGTCCAGTAAATGATGTTTGGACTCAAAAGAAAAACATTACAACAACTACCCGTGCAGGTGATTAAAGCATTTTTTAAGTGAAGGAATCCTGCCTTTGTTATGGTTCTAATGTGTTTGAAATTAGCTGTGAATCTAAAATAATAAAATCAACACTGTTTTGTCCTGATTGAGCTCAATTCTTTCGTATAAAAAAAGACAAATATCATCTGCATAATGATGCCTCTTTTTCTAGTGCCACAGCTCTACCGGATACTGTTGGTGTGTGGACAGCCAGGGAGAAGAACGCCCAGGAACCCGAACCCCGCCTGGTACGCCCCCCACAGACTGCGACAAACCGGGTGAGTGACACAAACCTTCCCATGACCCCAGCGTTCGCCGGCGTGAGCAGGTGCATCGTGTCACGTCTTTTTTAAGCTTTCTTGTTAACCGGTGACCTGTGAACCTACTAATTCCTCGAATCGCAGGCAACTCAGACAGCTTGTTTATGTGAGCTTGTGAGTTGTATGCTGCTGAGGTCACGGGGTCGTAGGCTTGGAATCTCTGGAAAAACAGGTGGGTGGTAAAAACCAAGTTTCCCCAAAGCGAAGGTAAAACTTAACGAATGAAGAGAGTCTGAGTGGTTTTCTGTTTGGCTTCAAAGCCCCTGAGTGGATATTTATGGGTTAATAAATGTAATAAGTGCTATGTTCTGGAAAAGTAATGGATGCCCTGAGGCAGGGGAGTCCAAACTGTGGAGCGTGGGCCATTCGTGGTCCTGGGATGGATTTTTTGTGGCCCCCAACTGCAATTTAAGACCCGTCTAGAACCGATATAATTTTCTGATCTTTGTAAAATCCTGACTTTTTCTTAAAATCATCCTTTATTTATTTTATTAAAACATTTTGAACGATCCTGTTCCCATAACTGAGGATAAATTTGTTAACCGAGCTCAACATCAGATTGAAAACTAATCTTCTTCCTTTTAATGCTGCAAAATCCTTTTTCTGTTTGGCTATATGATGAAAAACATCCATTTCCCACAAAAAAACAAGAGCAAGATTTTGGTGTAATTTTTTATTTTCTTGACCTGCCAATGCTTTTACCTGAACAATTTTGGCCCATGTGACAAAAAGAAAACTGAATTCTTACATATTATGTCAATTTCATAAATTATTTGAAGGTTCCCATCATGTTTGGTTTTGTAAACTCAACTTTTTAACTTAGAGCGTCCAAGGACTCAGTGTGAGCACCACAGAGACAGCGTCCAGAACACCGGTCCACTTGGACCTCCTGTAGTTGGAACCTACATACCTGAGTGTGATGAAAACGGACTCTATGTACCAAAGCAGGTCAGGATCCATTGAGATTGCTCCACTGTTAGCATTTATTTCTGTTCTATTCCAACAATAAAGTGTTTATTTACTGGTTCCAGTGCCATGATCTTTCGGGATATTGTTGGTGTGTGGACAGCAGCGGACAGGAGAGAAGCGGAACCAGAACTGGACCTGGTTCACCCAGTATAGACTGCAGAATAAGTGAGACTGGAAGTGTTAATTTAATTTTAAATCAACGCACATTTCAACCAGAAAAGTTATTATTTACAACTGATTTAGGTTTTGAAGTGTGTAGATGTTTAGTTTCATCATTTATAAAACATTAGATTTGATTCTCCTTATGTTTAACAACTCTGAATAAAGTCTTATTTCTGTGTATTTAGGTGAGTTGTGGTGCTTTCTAGTTTGTTATTGTTGCATTGCTGCAAGGCAAGCTGAAAAATTGTCCCAGATTATTGCGATAAATGATAATATTGTTGTTTTGAGACCAATTTCAAGTATTGTAATGGTAATGGCATAAACTTTAAAATCTGATAAAAATTGAACACTGGAACTGGAAAACATTTTAAATATCCCAAATAAATAAACAAAACAAGAAATAAAATGAATTATGAAGTCTCTGTCAACAAAATTGTCTTTCAAAACACCAACCTGAAGACTTTGGTCATCAAGTCTTTGCAGTTTCATGCAAATGAAAATTTTTAAGCTCGTTTAATTTGATTTATTGCTTATTACAACACAACGTTTTTTGTTTTACTTGTGAGTAAAATGTTGCACTGCAGATTTTTTGAGCATTTGCATCATTTAATATCCAGAGATACTTAAGATTCCAAATAAACCGTGTAAATGTTTGTCCTGTTCATCCAGTAGACCACATACAGACTCCAAAGACTCACTGCCAGCGCCACAGAGACAGCGTCCAGACCACCGGTCCAGATGGACTTCCTGTTGTTGGAGCCTACGTACCTCAGTGTGATGAAATTGGATCCTATCTACCACAGCAGGTTGGACCTCCTTACTTTGCCTTTATATTGATAAATTTAGCTCTAAATTACCATTGAATACGTCTATATGGTGTGTTTTACTGGTTCCAGTGCCATGGTTCTACTGGATATTGCTGGTGTGTGGACAGTAGGGGACAGGAGAGAGCCGGAACCAGGACTGGACCTGGTTCACCCAGCGTAGACTGCACATCAGGTGAGACTATCTACTGGTGACCCATCCATTCTTATTTTATCGCTACTGTTTGCTGGTTTCTGGAAGTGAGTTGGGATGTGGGAAGTTTCCTGAAATGTCAATGTTCTGATGTTTGGTGAACATTTACCTTAAGCCATTGCCACCATTCTAGTTTGCCACTGGCGTTTTTCTTGGGCAGAAGAAGGTTTTTGCCCCCTTTCTTTGGTTCATACCCTTGTTGACCAAACTCTGCGCTGGTGACAACACAATTATGTCCAAACCACGTCTGCTGTGGTCTGCTAAACATCTCAGGTTAATTGATGATGTAAATGTTTGTCCTGTTCGTCAAAACAGAGGAACTAGAGCGTCCAAAGACTCTCTGTGAGCGCCACAGAGACAGCATCCAGACCAGCTCAGACGGATTTCCTCCTCCTGGATCCTACGCAGCTCAGTGTGATGAAAACGGACTCTATTATCCAAAGCAGGTCAGGATCTACTGAACGTTTCTGCTTTAAGACTGAATTATCACTGTTTTACATGTGTTTACTGTTTCCAGTGTGATATTTCCCTTGGACAATGTTGGTGTGTGGACAATAGGGGACAGGAGAGAGCCGGAACCAGGACTGGACCTGGTTCACCCAGGGTAGAATGCAGAAGAGGTGAGAGTCCAAATATTGAGTTCACAGGAAAACTGGGATATCTAACATAACACACTGCAAAAACACAAAATCTTACCAAGTATTTTTGGTCTAGTTTTAGTGCAAATACCTCAATTCACTTGAAATAAGATAAAACTAACTAAAAAGTAACATTTCACCAAAATAATAGCTTGTTTTAAGTGAATAATTCCTTAATACCAATGAAAAATTACTAGTTTCTTTGCCAGATTATTTAATTTATGGGAAAATGTATTTTATAATCTACAATAGTCATTTCTTCTGGACCTTTAAACAGTTTATACAGAGACTAACTGATCATTTGAACTGCTAATTTGGAAACTTAATTATTTTTACAGCTGTGGAGTTTGATTGTGGGAACATCCTGAGTCATTAAGTTTTTGTGGATAATGGTGCTTTAAAAAGTTATGCAATCTGTGACTCACATTACCCAGATGAACCAGAGCGTCCAAAGACTCACTGTGAGCACCACAGAGACAGCGTCCTGTCCTCCAGACCAGATGGACTTCCTCTAGTTGGAGCCTACGTACCTCGGTGTGATGAAAATGGACTCTATGTACCAAAGCAGGTTAGACTTCCTTACTTTGCCTTTATATTCATTTATTTAACTCTAAATTACCATTGAATACTTATATAAGGTGTGTTTTACTGGTTCCAGTGCCATTTTACTACTGGATATTGCTGGTGTGTGGACAGTAGTGGACAGGAGAGAGCCGGAACCAGGATTGGACCTGGTTCACCCAGGGTAGAATGCAGAACAGGTAAGTCTCTGTTGTTTCATCTAAATAACACCTGGTATATTTATCATGATGAAGATTAGTCTCTGCTCGGACTCTGCTTGCTTTTGAAAACGCCTTTTGGCACCGTCGCCTGGCAACCTCTCAGCCAATAGAATGAAAGTGTTGTACTGGGTGTGTTTGTTTCCTTCTAGCGGATGTGCCTGTGTGGCTACTATCGATTGTAGCAACCTGCGCCATCCACTGGATGTAAGGAGTTGGATGGGTGAACAAACTGCTGCCTTAGATCAGTAGCTGTTAGTGATCAGTAGCTGTTAGCGACCAGTAGCTGTTAGCGATCAGTAGCTGTTAGCGATCAGTAGCTGTTAGCGATCAGTAGCACACAGCTGGCAGATGTTTAGTGTAACACGGAGCAGAAAGCTGAGGTCTTTGTTTTTGTCCAGCATAATTTGGCCTAATGAGGCCCATTTGTCCTGTGACTTTGCTTGACAGTTGGCAAAATTTGACTGCAAATAAAACATATCCAGTATCACCAGAACATCTCCGCTTTGTTGTAATCTGTCCAAAGAAGCTTTTCAGACCATCTCTTCTGCCAACGTCTTGTATGTTTCCTAATAAACTGTTTAAATGTGTCGTATTCTCTCTCAGAGCGTCCAAAGACTCACTGTGAGCATCACAGAGACAGCGTCCAGACCACCGGTCCAGATGGACTTCCTCTACTTGGAGTCTACGTACCACAATGTGATGAAAATGGACTTTATGTATCGCAGCAGGTTAGACGGACTTCACTGATCTTTTCTGTGACCTTTCACCTAATTTTAAGTTTATTAGAGATTCACTGAGCAGAATATTTGTGTTAGATTTCGGTTTTCTTAGGAGAAAAGGCAACATCAGCCCAAGAGTAAACAAGCTGTTGCTGTGAAACAAACAAAACTCTTATAGAGTTTGTATTTAAATTGTGTTTTATGTGTTATATTAGCACAATTAGCCCAGCTAGCATTAGTGAACTATAGTTGAACTATACTATTTACCTTGTAGCATTTGATTCCTGTGTGTTTACCAATCTGAGAAATGTTGGATTTCACTGGTAACAATTTCATAGTGTTTTTCCACTGTTTACCCTTCATTTGAGACTATCTATACCGACTTAACATTTCTTCGCTGTTCCAGTGCCATGGTTCTACTGGATACTGCTGGTGTGTGGACGATAGAGGACAAGAGCTCCCAGAAACCAGGACTGCACCTGGTGCACGTCGTGTAGACTGCAGCAGAACAGGTACGGTTTCAGATTTACCATAACATTTCATGTGTGTGTTCCTCCAAATATTATCAGAGTCTGGAGATGATTTAGTTGGGAACACAGAAGATGAAACAGAGTCTAATTGTTGAGTTTAATGACTTAAGAACATTGGGATTTCGTGACCCATGTATTCTGTTGACAATATGTCCCTAATAAACTGTGTGACTGTGACTCATTCTTCCAACAGAGGAACCAGAGCGTAGAAAGACTCTCTGTGAGCATCACAGGGACAGCGTCCCGACCACCAGTCCAGATGGAGTCACTTTATTTGGAGCCTATGTACCTCAGTGTGACGAAAATGGACTCTATGTCCCAAAGCAGGTAAAACTTTCCGTAATGATCCTTCTCTTTTTGCTTTCATCTAACTGGAACTTATAATGCTTTGGGTTTTTCAGTGACAGCATTTAATGTTTGTTTACTGGTTCCAGTGCCATGGTTCCACTGGATATTGTTGGTGTGTGGACAGTAGGGGACAGGAGAGAACCGCAACCAGGACTGGACCTGGTTTACCCAGTATAGACTGCAGATTCGGTGAGACTTTAAATCTCATCAGATCTATAATCTAAATACTGATTCACTGCAAAAACACAAAATCTTACCAAGTATTTTAGTTTTCAGTTTAGTTTCTAGTGCAAATGATACACTTGAAATAAGACAAAACTAACTTATAAGCAACTTTTCAGCAAGAAATATTAACGTGTTTTAAGTTAATAATTGCTTAAAATTGGGAAAAAAAGTTCTAGTTCCATTAAAACAAAACAGTTTTGCCTTGATATAAGTGAAATAATCTGCCAGTGGAACTAGTACTTTTTCATCAATATTAAGAATTTACAAGCTAAAAGGTTACTTGGATATTTTCACTTTAAACTAAACCAAAAATACTTAGATTTTGTGTTTTTTCAGTGCGAATAAACTGTAATGTGAGAACTAAAAACATTACAAAAGAGGCTGCAGGTCATTTGCATCATTTCAAACTATCTTCTTTTTCAAGAAACCAAACAAAATGCATTTCTAAAGTGTTTGTCTGTGTGATATCTTATTGTAAGCCCAATTCAGCCCAAATAAACGTAAGTTTTTAGTGTTAATTTTAATTCATTAATTACATTAACATACAACAGTTCTGAGGGGAACCTTTGTTTTTGCGTGTTTCCGGTACAGTCATAAATCTGATGCACAGGCAACATTCGCAAACAACAACAATGGACGACAAAGATGCTTCTTTTGGCTAATTTTTTACTTCACAGTCACATTTCTAAAGAAGTATTTTTTCAACAAAATTTCATAAATAATAATGGATTTCTGACACACTTGACAGCTGAATACATATAATATTACTCTGCATTAATCTGATGGTTGAATAACCTAGAGAAAATAAATGTTTTTGTTACAAGCTAATTAATTATGTCTTGTTATTTAATTAGACAACATACTCTTAATGTCTTTGTCTCTAGTAACATTAATTTTTATGCTAATGCTACCATTCTTTAAGCTAGTTTTGTTGTGTGTATTTAGAGTTTGTTTTGGGCTAACTGGCTAATAATATGGTAGTTGCTGAGGCACTTCAACATATTTTTACTCAAGTAAAAGTAAAAAAGAGTCAGAATGTATTTGGTAAAGAGTGATCAAATTATCATTTAATATTTAGAAAATTACATCATCAGACAAACCAAATTATAAAGTTAAGTGGAAATTTTGGCATTTTATGGGACAAAAGTCTTAAATCTCCATCAGAACTTGGCTCATTATAATGAATGGATGTTGTTCAGAGGAACCAGAGGCTCCAAAGACTCACTGCCAGCGCCACAGAGACAGCGTCCAGACCACCGGTCCAGATGGACTTCCTGTTGTTGGAGCCTACGTACCTCAGTGTGATGAAATTGGATCCTATCTACCACAGCAGGTTGGACCTCCTTACTTTGCCTTTATATTGATAAATTTAGCTCTAAATTACCATTGAATACGTCTATATGGTGTGTTTTACTGGTTCCAGTGCCATGGTTCTACTGGATATTGCTGGTGTGTGGACAGTAGGGGACAGGAGAGAGCCGGAACCAGGACTGGACCTGGTTCACCCAGCGTAGACTGCACATCAGGTGAGACTATCTACTGGTGACCCATCCATTCTTATTTTATCGCTACTGTTTGCTGGTTTCTGGAAGTGAGTTGGGATGTGGGAAGTTTCCTGAAATGTCAATGTTCTGATGTTTGGTGAACATTTACCTTAAGCCATTGCCACCATTCTAGTTTGCCACTGGCGTTTTTCTTGGGCAGAAGAAGGTTTTTGCCCCCTTTCTTTGGTTCATACCCTTGTTGACCAAACTCTGCGCTGGTGACAACACAATTATGTCCAAACCACGTCTGCTGTGGTCTGCTAAACATCTCAGGTTAATTGATGATGTAAATGTTTGTCCTGTCCGTCCAACAGAGGAACTAGAGCGTCCAAAGACTCTCTGTGAGCGCCACAGAGACAGCATCCAGACCAGCTCAGACGGACTTCCTCCTCCTGGAATCTACATACCTCAGTGTGATGAAAACGGACTCTATCTATCACAGCAGGTCAGGATCTACTGAACGTTTCTGCTTTAAGACTGAATTATCACTGTTTTACATGTGTTTACTGTTTCCAGTGTCATGGTTCCACTGGATATTGTTGGTGTGTGAATAGTAGTGGACAGGAGAGAATCGGAACCAGGACTGGACCTGGATCACTTAGTTTCGACTGCAGGACAGGCAGGACAGGTGAAGCTTATGGTTCTCTGAGGATCAACACAACAGAATGAAAGTTTTCATTGAACTATTTCAGTTCTCTTCTTGCAGTACTAGTTTGATATCATCTGCGTATAAACCAATAATGATGGTAAACTGGCTCAAAGTCTCGATGTTTTAAGCCAAACAAGTGTCAAAATGTTTCACAGATCAATCGGAGCGTCTTAAAACTCCCTGTGAGCATCACAAGGAAAGAGTTCAGGCCTCTAGCTCACGTGAATATCCTGTAGCTGGAGCCTATGTGCCTCAGTGTGACGCCGATGGACAATACATACCACTACAGGTGTGTACGCATAAAATTACTTATTTGCACTGAAGCTTCATGCGCTTTTATTGGAATTTTGCTGCTTCTCTTTGTTGATGTTTTAGTGCCACTCGTCCACTGGTTATTGTTGGTGTGTCAATGAGGACGGACAGGAGAGAGCGGGAACCAGAACCCCACCTGGTGCTCAACCAAGAGACTGTGCGAAACCAGGTGAGAGGGTTGGTTTTAGCTGCTAAAGCTACAGTAGATATTAAAAATATATTATTTACATATTTGTTAACTGTTATTATGAGACAGATAGTCTGTGAAAAGATCACTTTTTCCTTGAGCTACTATTGCTGTCTGAAGAAATGCACCACTCCCAACTAAAAACAACCACTAAGAGCCAGGAGGAGGGGCTTAGTGCTGTCAATCATCTCATGAACTTGTTGCTAACTATGTTAATGGCAGAGAAGCAACTAACGATTCGTTAGCCATGCTAATGCTGTCATTGTTAGCCATGCTAATGCTGTCGTTGGTAGCCATGCTAATGCCACCATCGTTAGCCATGCTAATGCCACCATCGTTAGCCATGCTAATGCCATCATCGCTAGCCATGCTAATGCCATCTTTGCTAGCCATGCTAATGCCATCTTTGCTAGCCATGCCAATGCTGTCTTTGTTAGCCATGCTAATGTCATCATTCTTTGTCATGCTAATGCCATCATCATTAGCCATGCTAATGCTGTCATCATTAGCCATGCTAATGTTGTCTTTGTTAGCCATGCTAATCTGTCTCATACCAAACTATCACAACATGGTGACAGTTTAGACACATATGTAAAACAAAATCTAAAAGTCACATACTGCAGCTTTAAAGGGAATAAAAGAAAGTTGAGTTCTGTTAATAAATCACATAAAATACTTTTTAAAATAGCTTCATTTCTGGCTCTTTTTCTTCTTCTTTTTGGACCAGATGCTCTTAAAACTCTATGTGAGGAGCAGAGAGACAGAGCACAGGCCAGCATTCAGAAGCGTTACCCCGTAGCTGGAGTGTTTGTCCCTCGCTGCGATGCACAGGGGCAGTTCCTACCTCAACAGGTAACTCTAGAGTTCCCTTTTGAATCACTTTCATCTGTTCATTTGTTCCTACTATGTGTTCATCCATGTTATTCCTCTTGTGTGTTCCAGTGCCATGAATCTACTGGACACTGTTGGTGTGTTGACAGCAGTGGACAGGAGAGAGCAGGAACTAGGACTGCACCTGGCGCCACACCTGCAGACTGCAGGAAACCAGGTTTCTAACCTTTAACACAAACCATTCTTTGAGATTATTTGCAGCATAAGATGCATCTGCAGCTAAAAGATACTTCTAACATCAACGTATGAGAAGCTCAAACTTATTTTGTTGATTAACTTTGAATTAATCGATTAATAATTGGATACAAAAAGGTATTTAGCAGGATTTTTTAACAGAATTTGAACCAGCTGAGGCTAAAATTGTTTAGATTAAATGTAAAATGTATGGATTTTTTATAAAATTTTGGCTGAATTACAGACTTTTTCTGAATCTGCATACTCCAATTAACGATTAATCGATTATTTAATTAGTTGAAGATTACTTCAATAATTGATTAATCCTTTTATTTGTTTCTGTCCTAATTGCTTTATCTCAATAAAGCAATACAGACTTGTATTATTGCTCAGCCCTCTTGTGAACCCAGCACAGCATATTTAGTTTCTCCGTCTTTATTGTGCACATAATTAAAGTTTGAATTATTGGCAGAAAAGCTTACAGATTTTTCATGTTCCAAACTGGTGGACTTCTCTAGATTTTTTCCACCCAAATAACTTTTTCAAGTGGAATTTCCTTTTTCGGTTTGCTTTTGGTTTTACATCTCCTACCGTTTTAAACTACAAGTCCCTGATTTATTGTTTCACATTAAACTCTATATTTATGAGTTAAACAGTTCAGCTCTGCGGTTTGGAACCGCCTCCAGGAGCTGCTCTGAACCACCAAATTTAGTGAACTTTTTGGTTAAATGCTATATAACCTCTAAACCACATGAATCCCACCAGAACCTATTAATCGGTAAAAAAAACCACACCAAATTTGTGTTTTTATTTCTGCACAAGCAGAAGCAGAAACATAAAGCGGTTTCAGGTTCAGTTCTATTAAAACGCATGTTGGCTGGTGAACATTTTGGAGTGTGTCTGTGTGTGTGTGCGTGCGTGTGTGTGTGTGTGTGTGTGTGTGTCTGTGTGTGTGTGTGTGCGTGCGTGTTTGTGTGCCTCTGTAAACACAGGGCATTCACAGACCATTAATAAAGCACTCCAACTCAAATTGCGACATAAACTCAGAGAGCTGGAGAACAGATGCTACATTCAGCTGAATGAATGCAGCATCAACAGAGGAGTTTCTTTATGACTCTGTTGTGTGGCTTTTGGTTTTAAACGAGGTTTGCGCTCTTCGCAGCGCCCACCAGTCGAGCCGAGAGCGTGTGTGAGAGATGGAGGGCCAGTTTGATCGAGCACTACGGAGGGAATCCCGACCCCCACCAGTATTTGCCTCAGTGCGAGCCAGATGGAGAATTCAGGTAGATTGACGCTGAAGGTCAGAAATAATTTCAGATCTGCTGATTGTGATCACTCTGCGCTCTCAGTCCGGTCCAGTGTTACGGGGAGTCCACTTACTGCTGGTGTGTGGACCAGGAGGGCCGGGAAGTACCTGGCACTCGCTCACAAGACGCCGTCAAACCAGCATGTAAGTCAACTTTTTATCTTTTATTCTCTCTTTGCAAAAGTAACACACCCACACAATTACAACCTCAAACTTTCTTGTATTTTATTGAATATTTATCTTTTTTTTCATCCAAAGTAATTAGCTAGCTGGATGCTAATTACTATTTTAAGTTTTAGATCTACAATGTTTTAAACTTCCCTTTCTAAGAAAGAAAAAGCCTGACTTTTTTTAGTTGTTTAATTAAAAATGGTTGTATATTTAGTTTATTGTTTTGTGGTTTCATGTACTTTTGACTGACGGATGTTGTTTCACAACCATCAAAGAGGTTGAATACAATCGCATATTTTTGTTTTCGTCCATTTTGCTCGTGCCAGGCCTCCCATCGGTGGCCCCTCCCATCGTCCGTCCAGTGACCCGTCCGGATGTGACGCCTCCGGCGAAAACCGCCGTCACCCTCCTCTACGCTCAGGGCCAGAAAATCGGCGCCCTGCCTCTGAACGGGAGCCGTCTGGACGCAGAGCGCTCCAAAACGCTGCTGACGCTCCACGTAAGAACCGCTGCAGGTTAAACTTTACATCAGATCAGTGTAAGAAACAACGTGTCATGATTTAGCCTCTGTTTGTCATTTTTATTGGTTGTCTACACCCGATGTGTGAAGTGATGCAATGTGTGAGAGACATCTGTGCAACATCTGCTGTGTTTCTGACGCCTCCTCTGCAGCAGATGTGCTCATCAAAAGAAACAAACTAAATGCTGAAGGGTTTAAATTTGAGCTGATAAATCACATTCTGAAGGGATTTGTATGGACATATAATGAAATAAAAATTAAATATGTGAGCAAAATCTTAGGTTAGAACCTCATAATCAGCCATTTAACTAAATGCATCAACTGTTGTGTTCTCACTTTGGCCTAGTCAAAGTTTAGTTCTCATCAAAGTGACAGACAATTGATTTTTAAGGAGGTAGTATTATGTAAAATCAACTTTTTTTAAGATTGAATGTTGTTCCTTCATCCAAAACATAGATGGAGTGTTGATTTTATTATTTCCTGCATGTTTGAGAAATCCTTTGATCTCCATGGCAACCATTCAGCTGTCCAAAAACGTCTGGGTGGACGTAGCCCCACCTTCGAGATACAGCTCCTCCCCCGCTCAGCTCCTTCAGACTAGCCAGCAGCAATTAGCAAACACCTCATTATAAGAGCTTCTTCTCAGTGTAACGCTGGTAAAAACATTAAAGGGTTAATAGAGGAGCCATGTTTGTGCTGACTTCCTGAAAGTGGAGTTTTTAAAGAGACAGAGGCTCAATTTCAAGGCGCTAAATTACAAAGTCAGATTTCTTCTAAGTCATGTTTTCAAGGTTTTCCCCAGAAAACTTGCTAAGCCCGCTGGTTGGGCACTCCGTCGTGTTTTTGAGTTAAAAATTTGTTTAAAGTTGGCAGGAAATTTGAAAATATCACTTGATAATTATGTGTTATTGAAAGATTGGAAGATTAATACCTGAACACCAACTAAAAAGTCTTTAAAAATGCAGACATTTTAAAAATAAGCAATGCTTAGCCTGGTGGAGGCACAAGTAAAGCCTGGTGGCCCGCCAGGCTTATAAAACACTGGAGGAAACCCTCTGATTTGAATTTCCAGCTTTAAAAATTCACCTCCTGCTCCAAGCTAACCCCAGCTGAGATGCTAATGTTTGTTTACACGCAGGGCTCCATCGTTGTCGGTATCGCCTACGACTGCAAGGAGAACAAAGTCTACTGGACGGATCTGTCAGCGAGAACGATCAACAGAGCCTCAATGGCGTCTGGAGCTGAGCCGGAGATGCTCATCAACACAAGTAACGGCTGCTCTTCTTCGTCTGGAATGGTTTTATCCTGCTCTCGGTTGAACAACAGCGCCCTCTGCCTGCAGAGCTCGTCAGTCCGGAGGGGTTGGCCCTGGATGCCAAGCGCAGGTTGATGTTTTGGGTCGACTCGAACACGGATGTGATAGAAAGCGCAAGCCTGGACGGCAGCAGGAGGCGGACCCTGTTCGACTCGGACCTGGTCAACCCGCGGGCCATCGTAGTGGTCTCCTCCACCGGGTCAGACTTTTTATCCAAACTGCTTTAAGTTCTTTAGTTTGGAGAAAATTAAGATTTAAAATGTTTGATATCACCTCAAGATCAATTTCAGACAAAACAAACAGAATGATAAAAATCATCACATTTTACACTTCATGCTACTCTTTTAGTCTTAGTTTAACTAAAACCATCTCATCTCATGGGCTGAACGCATTGATACAACATTATTTATTGCTAATTTTGCTTTTTAAATAAAAAGAAGTTGTGTTTGGAGGTTTAATCATCCAGATCTGAGCGTCTCTCCTCTCAGAGAGGAACGCATGGTTCGGCTTTTTATTAAAAGCAGGGAATTTAACACAAGCTGTGAGTCAACAAACTCTGGATCCACGCAGAGCAGAAGGTTCCGCATTTTCCCGCTCCGTTGAGTCTTGTTGAGTTTGGTTTCTAGGCTCGAGTCTCTAAACTGAACATGATAAGAAACAGAAGGAAATCTACGAGCTGGAACCTCCTTTACCAAAATCTCGTCAGATGTATTATTTAATGCAGCTGTAAATTCTGCATTCTTAATGCGCTACATCTGCGTTTTATCAAATTTCACACTGAGATGAGAGGAAGCAGAACAAAGGGGACATGCCACATGTCTTAGATTTTAATGTGTGTTACATTACCAGTAGAGCTGACACGATTAATCATTAAGTGAAATATTTAGCCAAAACTGTACAAAAAATGTAATTATTTCACATTTAAATGAAAACAAATTTGTCTAAATTCTAAGAATTTCTTAAGTGGCATAAAATAAGAAAAAAATCTCACATTGAGCAGCGTTTTCATCCAGTTATTAATATTAGTTAATAAAAATAATCTCACCTAACTTTATATTTTTGTCCATCTGGTTATGCAATTTTTAAATATTAAATGATTGATAATTTGATCAGTTAGTTTGTACTTTTTGCCAAATACTTTTTTACTCTTTCTTTAGTAATTTCTTGGATGCTACTTTTTACTTTTACTTGGATAAAATACGTTGAAGTAGTTCAACTCTTACTTGAGTGCAATTGCTGGATACTTCAACCCACCTGATTTTCAATATTGATAAAAAATATTGACGAATGTGGCAATTATTTGAATAAAAATAATAGACTGAGTAATTGAATAAAATAATATAATATCAATATGCTAATTAAAATAATTGTTTCCCAGCATTCCAACTGGTTTCTGCGCTGACTGTAACTCTCTCCAGGAGTCTTTTCTGGACCGACTGGAACCGAGAGGCGCCGAAGATCGAGACGTCCACTGTGGACGGTCAGGGCCGTAGGGTTGTTGTGTCCGACGGCATCGGGTTGCCGAACGCGCTGACCTACGACCTCTCATCTGGGCAGATCTGCTGGGCCGACGCAGGTAAACACCCCAGGTTTGTTCTTCTCACTTCCTGAAAGCAGCGCTGATCTGGAATCCATTCTGTTTCCGACAGGCACCAAGCGTCTGGAGTGCATATCTCCCAACGGATCCGGCCGCAGGGTGATCAACTCTGACCTGAACTACCCGTTCAGCATGGTCTACCATAGCAACCACTTCTACTTCAGCGACTGGAGGAGGTAGCCATCTTTGATGACCGGTCAGTCTGTTTCTGTCACTGGTTAGTAACCACTGGGTCGTCACAGGGACGGCGTGATCGCAGTCGACAAAGACAGCAGCAAGTTCACCGACGAATACCTGCCTGAGCAGCGCTCTCACCTCTACGGCATCACCATAGCAACCACCCACTGTCTACCAGGTGAGATGTGATGGAGAGTCTTCAAGTAGCATGTCTTACAGCTTTTCCTAAACTAGATGTAGATCTAGACCAAACACAAATGGTTTTTATCTGGACAAGAGAGAAGCAGATAGATTCTCTACACTGCAAAAACACAACATATTACCAAGTATTTTAGTCTAGATTCTAGTAAAAATATCTTGAAATGAGACACAACTAACATAAGTAGCTTTTCAGTAAGATATTAGAGCTTGTTTCAAGTAATTAATTCATTAAAATTGATGGAAACGTTCTAGTTCACAGGCAGATTATTTCACTTGTAACAAGACATTTTTCTCATGTTGTAAGTGAATTTATCTGTCAGTGAAACTAGAACTTTTTCATCAGTATTAAGAATTTATTTACCTAAAACAAGCTAATATAACTTGCTGAAAGGGTAGTTAGAAGTTAGCTTTATCTTATTTCAATGTACTAAGATATTTTCACTAGAAACTAAACCAAAAATACTTGGTAAGATTTTGTGTTTTTGCAGTGAAAGGTCTAAAAATCAACCTCTGTCCTCCGTTTCTCAACAGACTCACATCTGCACGTTTTCAGTTAATAATTAAGTTTAATAACCTCAGCAACTTTTTTCCATATTTAGTAAAACATAACATATAATATAAGTGCCCTTCATGTGGTGATCTTCTGCATAGTTACCTTTAAATTTAAACATTGCTCAGTTCTTTAGCACTGCTCATAAAAGAGACCAGATCCAGCTGGCCTGCAGGCGGCCGTCCTGACTCACAGTGTGTGAACCGAGCAGCCATGATTACACCGTCGCTGACGACCCTCTGCCTGTACTTTGACTGGGTCATCATGTCTGACGTGTTAATGAGTGCAGATGTCCTCAGGGCTGTTTCTCAAACACCTTCAAAGTGTGACAGCCTCTCTAAACACAGGATAATCCCCAAAGTGGTACCCTGGCAGATGTCACACATCTGCACAGCGCCGATCCCGATGATGTCCGCCGCTCCCTTCAAAGGCGCCTGATGACAGCTCTGAAGCACTCATGCTAGGTGTTTGGGGGAGAGGACATTAGCCGCTATTCTGTTATAAATGTGCTGCAAGACTTTGTCAAAAAAAGACAATTTCACAATTGTACTGTTTCCATTAGATACGAAATTAAATTAAAATCGCATGTGAGTAAGTTTGTTCAGAAGTCGTTAAAAACTGTCACATCATCATCCTCCTACTACTTCCTGTTGTCTTCTTTGTCGTTTCCACCAGTAGTAACTGGTAACTCGTAGTAGTGACTCGTGATTCAAAAAAGTATTTCTATTGCAGTTTAGCAAATACACTAATTTGAATATAGAGAAAACACCACCTTATACACCCCATTTTTCGCTAGTTTTTAGCAAAGACTATTTTTTTTAAATTGGCATTTTAATTTGCACAATAATATGGTAAATGGAAACACTGCTTGTGTTGAAGATGTCAACACACTAGCAGCATTTCCAATACAAATGTGTGCAAAACTTCAACAAAATATTCAACTAATGTTGAAAAACCCAACTTTGCAATTCTATGGTTTCCATTAAATGCAAAATTAAATTAAAATCACGTGAATAAATTTGTTCAGAAGTCATTAAAAAACATGTCACGCAGTCATCCTCCTACTTCTTCCTGTTGTCTTTTTTGTCGTTTCTGTCAGTAGCAACATTCAAACATGTGACTCATGATTTGAAAAATGTATTGCCAGTGCAGTTTTGCGAAATACGCTAATTTCAATGTAGACAAAACACCACTTCATCCTAGCCCAAAAACATTTTAGCGAAAAACATGCCTTTATTTTTTTCAAATTTGCTGTGTTTCCATGGAGCAGATTTGTTTTTATATTTCCAATTTCCACACTTATTTGGTCAACGGAAACGCAGCTGTTGTTGAAGATGTCAACACATTGAAAACTTGTTCACTAAAGGCAATAGAGGCACTAAAAACATTCAGATTTATACATGAAGGGAAACCTGACTTCCTCCTGTGGCTAATTAGACGTGATGGAACTAATCTTCTGCTCTCGTTTCACAGGGAGCCTCTAGCGACGGACCAGCAGTCCTTTGATGCTACAGTCGCTGGATGGAAGCAAGAGTTACAACCCTCACTGTCCTCACCCTCAAAATATAACCCAAAGTAAATGTTTTGTAAATTTGTTTTATACCTCATTTTTTTCCCACTGTTTTGAGTTATTTTGTTTTCTATCGAAGCTACAAAACGAAAGATTTTAAAAGTTCTTCACGAGTGTTTTCCAATCACTTAAAGGGAAGGAAAAAGTTGGAAGCAGTTAATAAACTTCGAATTTCACTAAACTGTGTAAAATGTTTATGCTGCTTTGTGCCGCTATCGTTTTAAAGAGATTAATAAATGTTTCCAGAGGTCATTGAAGGTCAACAAAATCGAGCAAATTTGGTCTCAATCAGCTGTGCTACAAATATTCAAGCTACACAAACATAGCACAATTAATTTAGATCAGTTTTGTTACAATCTTAAAAATTATAGCAGCACAAACTAAAACATTTAACACCAGTTTAATTCTGCAGTAGGTATGATTCCTGCTGTCTTAATTTAGAATAAATTTTGGTCTATAGCCAGTTAGCCGCTAGCTTTAGCGACATTTTCTAAATACGATGCAGGTAAGATATTGACTGCTTTTGACTCAACGGAAGCTGGGAAACAGAACAGTAACAGCATCAGGGTTTTTCTGCGTCCAGTTTCTGTCTCATGCAACTTCAGTGACTTTTTAAGTAATGTGTGTGCTTTCCTATTAATTATTTGGATTCAGCAGTATTAGCATTGCTCCAGAGCCACGAGACGGCAAGTTAAGCTGCATGTCAACAAGAACTAAAAGAAATGTTGGTTTTATTTAGAGTTATTTCTTCAGTTTAAAGAAACTTTGCAGCTTGGACGAAGCGCTTGAATCTGCGGTTTGAACATAAATGGTGCCAATCAGACTGATGCCAGCAGCAAACCTGTTTTATTAATAATAAAATAAATCTATGAACCGAAAGCAGCACAACCCCACAGATTGCAGCAGCTGCAGTCCTGGATTTCCCATAGGAGAAAATGTCGTTTTATTTTGCTGAATATTTTTGATATTTTAAACCTTTTCTTGTTAACGAGATGTGATATTTATATCAATAAAATGTGATTTGATATAAGTTTGTTTTTTCTTTTGCTGTTGTATAAATCACATCCCATGTGATTTAAACTGCCTCAAAATGAACATTTATTCCAAAAAAAAAAAAAACTATCAGAGTTCAACACAATCCTCCACTTTTGAGGAATTTCATTTCTTTACCAGAACTACTACAACAGTTTCCCTTCTTTAAGAAAACAAATCTTTGCATCTGAAACTTGGACCTTTGCTCAGTTTGTCCAAATTGGCCCATTTCATGCAACAACTGAAAACAAAACAAAAAAAAAAAACAAAAACATTTCCTTCAGATGTCTTTGAACAAAAATAAAGTCACTTTTCTCTGTAAATCAACTCCAGCGACCTTGGCCTCTCATCTGCCGACCTTGCCCAGCCGGTGGTCCGTCTTGGGGTCGGCTATGATGGCCTGGACGGCGACGATGGCCTCGTTGATCTTCGTCTGCAGCTCCCGCAGCTCCTCGATGTGCAGCAGGCGCAGAATCTGGGCCGCTTCGTTCAGGGTCGCGTCTGCCCAGGGGGAAAAGAGGAGGAATGTTGTTACCGCACGCGTTTGAATCAAAACAAGAAAAACGAGGGGTTTAACCTCACTCACCTCCAGTGTCGAAACCCAGAATGTGTTTATCCAAAGTGACCGGAACACCCTGCAAAGACCCGCAGAGTGTTTTTAGTTTTAAATCAGAGTTCAGATATTCGCGCATGTCCTCAGCTCACCTCTCTGTTCTGGCTGGCCTTAGCGATGGCCTCTGGTGAAAGTCTCTCCTGGATCAGGATTCGGATGGCCTGCCAAGAACAGGAAGATGCACTGATTAGAGAGCATTGCTGCAATTCCTAATAAGGAAATCAAACTCAACCACTTAATTCTTCTGATTTGGAATTTTAAAAAATCTCCATAAAAAAAGCAATCTCAAATTAAGACCTTAAATTGTTAAATTCACTGAGAAACAATAAGTTGGCCTTAAATTATGTGACAGGCCTATTTAATCTCATAATCTTTTTAACTACTTACATTTATTCAATACAATGTATTTTTAGAAGTAGTTTTACTGCAGTGTACACTTTTACTTGAATGAAATTTCTGGATTTTCTACCCACTGAATGAAAAACAAACCAAACATGACACACACCTGCAGTTCCAGGTAAAGTTTTATCATTTTTTATTGAAAGAAACTGATTTCTTTTGCCTGATTTTGCTATGTTTTTGTTGCTCATAAGAATTATTGCCATTAAAATACCAAGGTTTCCACTAAACTTTATATTTTGGTCCATCTATTGACACATTTTTAAATATTAAATGATAATGTGAGTAATTTTTTTACTCTTGAGTAATTTCTTTGTTGTGCTACTTTGTGTGAGTTTATCCATTAAAACCCAACAAAATACAGATTGCAGCAGATTCATGTGGATGACATCACACTCTTCTCACCTTTAGCATGACCAGGTAATCGTCATGCCGCTGTATTTTGAGGATGTTGACCAGTGCTGTGACTCCTGCTTTAAAATCTGGGGAGTTATCTAAAAGAATCAGAAAAACAAACATTAAAAATAACTGAAACAGTGAAAGGAAACAGAGATGGGGGGTTAACTTACTGTCGAGGTTGACGAGAGGATCCACGGCTTTATCGCTGTTACCAGACGTGTCCAGCGGCCGGCAGTTCTTATACTTTTCAACTGCAGAACGGAAGAAAATAAGTTGTGTTGCGCCGCCATCTAGTGGTCATCTTCACTATTTCACCCGAGGAAAACTTAGGACGGGATTTGTTTCTACTGCCTTCAAAATGTTAGCATTTAAAAATGAAAATGATTGTTTTGAGGTGAGTTTCTAATCTGGTGATTTTGTTTTACTATCCTGTAAATACTAAAGTAAAGTAGGACTGTTTGTAAATTTGCTGCTGAAAACCGCCGCTAAAGAAACTGTGGAAACGGGAGGAAAAAAATTATTGGGAAATGTCTGAGTTTGAAAAGTTGAAAATTTACAAAAAAAATAAAAATAAATAAAATAAAATAAACTATATTTATTATTTCCATCAAAAACACAAGTCTAAAACCTTAGACTTTGAATTTTCCATGTTTAATTCTTGAATTTTTTTAGATATATCTAAAAGACTCCTTTTTTCTATCTACAATGGCACTAATACGCTGTTGTATCAGTGTAGTAATTGTTAAAAATAAAGTTATGTACCAAACATGAAGAACTGTGGTTTTTTTTCTTCACTTTTTTGTGACTTCAGCTCTCTAATTTGGTTATTTTAAATCTACTGCAGGTGCTAAATTCTTCCAGGAAGTTTCACGAACCCGTCTGTAAAATATGTTGCTTGATCAAATAAAATCAGATATATTTTCTTTACGTCTTACCATTGTCTCCATATTCGTAGCGTACAGCCAAACCCAGCAGCCAGTCCAGGGCCTCCTTCTTCTCCTGAACTCCAAAGGGACAGTTCAGATCCAGCAGGTACTACAGAAATAGAAGCAGAAAGCTTTAAACGCAGGTCATGGTGTTCAGATTGTCCAGAGGTCTGGACAGTCTCACCTTCTCATAAGCTTTGGGCCAGTCTGAACTGGGAATGTTCCTGAGGTTGCCTCTGTCCTCGATCTTATAGTGTCGGATCTTCTGGTCCTCCAGCCACACGATGCAATTTCTGAACTGTGTTTCATCTGAGCAAAAGAGTCGAAATGTGGCCATTAGTACAGAAATGGGCTGGTGCCTATATTAAAATCATACCAGAAATCTTCATTAATATCCTTTAACATTTTTAATGTAATATTAAAGTCTACTAACATTAGTAATTATATTTGCTCAAATAGGACGCATTAAACTGCACTGATATTCATTTAAAGCGTAGAATGCCTCCACATATTCCTATTTTTAGTCTGGCAATCCGCTGTCTCCTTACAACTACACGGTTCAGAATACGTACGCACGTCAGCTAGCTCCGTGAAAACCTGAACGAAACCGGCTAACCAGTCACTTTTTCCCCTCACCTGAGCAGTCAAATCCGTTCGGGTCATGGTAATCTAGCGCAGTCAATTTCCTGCGAAACATTTCAGAGCAAATACTTAGCGCAAAACCTCCGCTTTTCTTATTTAGACGCTGTGGACTTGTGCGGCTACTGCTCTGCTAACGTCTTGTGTATGGCAGTGCGCATGCGCCCACGTCGGACCCTACTAGTTCTTAACTGACCTTTCAAAATAAAATCCTTCATAGCCAAAGAAGGAAATTTAAATATCGTCACTTTTCTGAAAAAAACAAAAAAACAAAAAACAAAAACTAATTATTAAATGATAAGTGTTTGTCTTTTGATCTAAATTTTTGGTAACGATGTGGTGTTTTGCCATAAAAGACAAAACATTATTTGTAAAAAATAAAGGAAAATGTATTTATTTTTTAAAATATATTTAAAAAATCTGGGAAGGGTCTTAAACTGCTGTATTACATCAAATACAAATATCATATAAAGAGAGTATTACAACTCACAGATATAATTTTAAATTAAATCAATGCTTCTTTCCAAATCATTCTCTGCCTCATACTAATGTCTGATTGTCCTAAAACACCTGCCACTAAATTCACTAAGATTCACTCAGCAAATATTGGAATACAGTTAGAAACCAACAACCATAGCACCATTTAAAGGGTCAGTACAGTGGCGCAACTGCACATTATTCAGGTGGATGCGAAAACATAAATCGTTTTCGCATCCACCATCCTTTTACATATTTTCCTCTAAGATCCAAGACACCAATCAGCAAATATTAAAGTCAGTTTATATTTTACTTCTTCTATAATTTTATCTCTCTATTTTGTGTTCTGGAGTGCAAAAGTTGTAAAGAAAAAATAAGTGACAATCCCATCTTTTTTTTATTAACGGTTCACGTTTTTAATCATTTTATTAAAACATTAAGGTCACTTTCTAAAATGTCTCTAGCTTTTGTAAATCAAGTCGTTGCAAAATGTCTGGATTATGATAAGCAAGAAAATATCCAGCAGGAATGTAGAAACACAAAGTTAGACAAGTTTCTTCTAATTAAATATCATTTCTGCACTAGAATGGCCGATCAGTTACAAGTGTATCATCCTAAAATATAAACTTTAAAACTTAAGCTGTAATGTGGTTTCACCTTTTGAAGTAAAATAATGAGAATCTATTTAATTTAGTGGTTATTGAAGAACATCAATGATGTGAATTTGATCAGCTGGTCAATAAACAAAATTTATAATATTCTTCAGAATGTGTGTTCAGGTTGTTGTTCTTTTTACATTTAATATCAGCATTAATTAAAAATATGATTTAAGATAATAATATAGAATGGTTCTGCATCCTATAGTGTAAAATTAAACTATAAATAATAAACACATTTTTAAATCACAAATCCAAATAGATCAAAGTCTCTATGATAAACTTAACATACCAAGAAGAAACATAATGAGGATCATTGTAACATGAATACAGGTTATATTACAAAGATTTAAACCTTATATGGCTCAATGTTTGGATCAGTTTTATGTCAAATATTTGCTGATTTTGTGTGTTTTAGTTTATAAAAACACATCACATTTAGGGGACATAGAAACATTATAAAAGTGACAAGATGAACAACCAATAAATACATTATTTGATCTTCAGTTGAAATAAAAACTGAATATTGTCACTAGATGAAGTTTTGGCTGAATCATCTGTGTTTCTGTTTCATCTCAGCAGGTGTGGATCTGCATGATGTCGATGCGTCGCTGCTCCTCAAGCTTTAAGTCCAAAGTGTGTTTGAGCTCCGACACTGAAACCTGCATCAGGACGACGTCTCCAGTGGCTCTGATGGTTGTGTTGGGTTTTCTCACTCTGGGCCAGACTGACTTTTAAATTTAGCTGTCAAGTTTGGTTTGAACTCGTATCTATTATTGTTTTCCTTTTACGTTGCTCATTTCTCTCTTCAGCATCATCTGCCAATAATTTTCTGACTCAGTCTGAACCATCAAAGTCAGTCAGTGTTGGAGCGACTGTGACCATCAGGGAAGTTCAAATATTGGTTCTGATCTCAGTTGGTACCTGCAGAAACCTGGACAGCCTCTAAACTTCTTATAGATCAGGCTTCAAGTCGGTTCTCAGGAACTCCATCTAGATTCAGTGGCAGTAGATCTGGTTCTGATTACACTTTAACCATCAGTGGTTTTCAGGCTGAAGATGCTGGAGATTATTACTGTCTGGGTTACCATGGTAACAACGTGTTCACACAGTGATTTATGGTCGAACAAAAACCTCCTTCAGTCTGACTGAAGGCTGCAGGTGCAGAGAAATGATGAGAACTGGTTCAGTGAACACGTCACAGAAGTTACCAAGTAAAACCATCAAATATCTAAGGCTCAAATCACCAACTATAGATTAATTTATAAACACAGATGTTGAAATTAGTTTATAAATATGGATTATTAATAAGTTTTCTAATGTTTTGCCTCAAACACTAAAGAGTCTTCAGTTCTTACCTAAAGGCTTTTACATGTGCAGGTTTCTAAAACCTTTTATAAACTTTAAAGAAATGAAGATGAGACGTTTGAATGTAAACAAGAATAAAGAGTGAGATATGTGGTGGTGGAATGATGTCACACCACCAGCAAAGGAAGATTCTGTGATGTCACTGGCGATGCTGTCTGTGATGTCATCAACTGCAGAATTGCATGTAACACAACTCTGCATATTTTTCATTGCTTGCAGTAACCCTGACTAGTTCAGAAGTGTGCAAAGCTCGTGTGAAGAAATTTTCCCAATCAGCGATTTTAGTAAGTGCATTTTGGAGAAAATGTCAGATACACCAAGAAACGGCAGTGGAGAGATGGGGCCCCATCTCTCCAACCCTGAAGGCCTGTTCACACATGCATACGAGGCCTTGCTGGAGGAAATCCAACAACTCAGCTCTCGTCTGGACATGGAGATCGCTGGAAGGGCTGAAGACAATCAGAAACTGGCCCAGCTGGAGGAAGAGCTGGAAGAGACTAAGGAAGAGTTAGAAAGGGAGAAAGAAAAGTGGAACGAGAAGCTCAAGTGCAAATATGAAATTGATATCATGGTACTACAGGAACGGCTAACTGAAGAGAGAGAGGACCATCTTAAAAAAGCAGAGGAAGACATGGCGCTGATAGATGACCTGAAAACAACAAATGCCGTTCTCCAGGAAAACCATGACAAAGAAGTCCAATTCCTGCAAGAAGAAAAAAAATGTTTGCAGAGAAAGTTTAATGACATGAAACATTCATATCATGAATTTATTGCCAAGTACCAAAATGATGTTTCTGAATTGAATCTAGAAGTAGAAAGATACAAGCAGGAGATTAGCCAGGAGAAAGAAGCAAACCTACAGACGGTTAAAGAAAATCAGAAACTTATCAATGACCTGACAGCTGAAAAGGAGGAGCTCCAACAGAAGATGTCCAGACGGATCACAATCCTGAAAAAAAGAGAAAAGTATATTCTTAATGAACTGGATCAAGTCCACTTTTTATACGACGAGCTAAAGATCAAGTATGAGAATGATGTCATTGAACTGCAGCAGCAGGCCGAAACCTACAAGGAGATTATAAAACAGAGAGAAACTAATATTTCAGAAAGAGAAGGGAAAGAAAAGTTCATCCAGGAAGAGTTAGAGAAATTTAAACGTTTGTACCTGGAGCAAAACTACCGTTATGAGACTGATATCACTGCACTTCAACAAAAAGCAGAAAAATATCAGCAGGAGATAAGTAACATAAAAGAGGAGCTAAAAAAATCAAAAGAGGATCAACTGCCAGACACAGAGGATAAAAACAATGCCACCGTTTTAAAAGAGGAAGAGTCACAGAACCCCGTCGACCAGGTTAAAGATGCAAAACGAGACGATTCTTATGAGGAGGAACTTTTCGCAGAATCTTTGCCTGGTTGTTCAAAGGATCTGGAACCCAAAGAGGCAGAGACCAGAGGAGAAACCGTCCCGGAGGATTTAGATAATAAAACTATGGACGGCAAAAAGAAAAAATCTAAATTTTCAATATGGAAAAAGATAAGAAGCACTCTGGGGTTCAAGAAGGCAAAAAAATGAAGATACTAAAACTCAGAACTAATTTTCTTAATTTTGATTAGAGAAAAGATGGAGGTTGTCGCCAGTGTGAACGGGGCGCCCTGCGACCCTCCATCAAGAGGAAATTTAAAACTTCAAGTCGTCGTCGTCCCCCCCGCTTTCCACCATTGACAAACTAGAAAATAGATCCCTTCCCAACCCAACTGGAAAAAACGTGGGCAGCTCGGTG